TGTAGGGGAAGCATAAAGCATAATCTACATGGGTCGAAAATAATCTGAAAGGATATACATACTGAAAAGTAGAGGTGATTTTTTTGGAGATGATGAAATCATAAGTACTTTAAGTTTTACACATCTGCATTTTAACGTTTTCTACAGCCAGTCTGTAATTTATACAATAATTTTAACCACTGACATTTATGGAATGGTTGTGACACCTCTGACATTTGGGTGCCTAGCTCATGAAATTGACACTATTTTCCTTCATTTTTCAGGTGAGGAAGCAGGCTCAGAGAACTTGGCCATCTTATCCAAGCTCATATAGCAAAAATCTGCAGAACCAGGATTTGAGCACAGTTTGCATGACTCCAAAGCTGTGTTTGTTAACTGAATGAATGATTGGCTTAGTCACACTTTAACCAAATGTAGGAGAGCAGTGTCACACCCTTGGTGTGGCCAAGCTCCAGAGAATGGAAGGCCTGCTTCCTCTGTCATTGCTCACAACTGAGCTTTACAATGCTTGAGTCAGGGAGAGGGCGTGGCAAGTATTCTCAAAGAGTCATCTTTGGACAAAATGTGCACGACTCCATGTGAAATCTGCAGGCTCTCCCACCTGACTCATTAGACCTGAAGCAATCCTGGCCTCTCGCACCAGGCTGCCCTGTCACTGGGCCAGGCAGTGGGGCCCTGCTGCTGGAGAGGAACCTTTGGCTTTCAAGGAGGGAGAATCGATTTTGTTTTGCTGAGCTGGGTGAGCAAAAGTGATGTGGAGGGACCCCGTTTAATCTACCCTCAATTCCATTAGGAGGTTTGGGGTGTTACAGGATGAATGGAGATGAGGGGAGGAAACAGGTTAGGGGAAGGGGAGATGTGGAGCAGATGTACTCGTGTTCATGTCTCTTTGTGGGTGTTCATTGGGGGAGGGGATTAATTTATGCTCCTGAGGGATTTGAAGAGTTTGAGCAACTCCCAGTTGCTTCTTTTGAGGTTTGCACCTGTGCCCTAGAACAAAGCTACTTGATAACCTGTTAGGACTTGCTTTGACCAGTTTCTGCTGGTCAGGGTCTGCTGACTCTGCAAACACAAACTGGCAAATTTTGTGAAAAGGAAGAGAGGGAGATACACAGGAAGAGAACAATGAGCTTGCATTCGCCTCTCCTGGGTGACACACTTGAACTTTGTAGACCTGTTTCGCATGATGGTTCCAGAGGCACCATCTTCAAGGCAGAGCACTTGACAATCTTCTCCAAGGTCTGATAGCAAATAATGGCCCACCTTCCTTTGCCAAGGTTGCCAAGCATGCTTAGCAGATTTTCGCACATGTAACCTAGTGAGAAAAGCTCAGAGTCGCTCATTTTATTTGACTCATCAGCAAATTGAGATGGTGGGTGGCCTAGTACATGGAAGGCAGAATTGCAAAGTAGTGTGTCAGAATTGCAAAGCCGTGGTGTCAGATGGAAATGGGTTGGGTCCCGGCACTGCCATTACTGGCTATGTGACCATGAGCACTAACACCACCTCTCTGAGCTGCAGTGTCCTCATCTGTGTTGATGTCTGCACTTACAGACTTGGGGAAGGATCATTGAAATAATGTATGCAGAATGCTTGGTCCTGTACATGGCATTCCAGAAATGTTACTCATCTAACAAATATTTGCTGAGCACCTACTGTGGACCAAGCCCCTGCCATGGGCCCAGCACCAGGTGCTGAAGCTACAACAGAAAAGCCCCTTTTCTCATGTCGCGTGGGTCTGAGTTGGTGAGGGTGGGAGTATGCATGTGTCTGGCAGAGGAATGTTTCAGGCAGAAGCAGCAGCAGGTACACAGCGTGCTTCCCCCCCCAACATGTTGTTATGAAAAATTTCACACACAGACTATGTATAGTGAAAAGCCAGTCTCCTCCCACCTAGATTCAACAATTAACATTTAACTATATTTATTTTCTGTTATAGCTGCTCTAGATCCCTGTGCTTTTTTTTTGGATCAGATGCTCTGCCTTGAAGATTTGGAAACAGAATAACTAGAACTGCAGTCAGAAAACAAGGTTCTCTGTTGTGAGACTCAGAGGGGAAGAGGGAAATCTCCCCTTTCAGCAGACGTGCCAGGAAAGGCCGGCTCCCTTTTTGAAGGAAAGCCTCTCTGCTCAGCAAGGAGCTTGGTGCTCTCATCTGCCCATCAGCAGCTCCTCCCTGGGGCAGGGAGGATGCACAAGGGTTTGGGGTGTTGTAGAGCCAGCTGCCATCACCCCGAGTTGGCCATCGGAGACAGCAGGCAGAGTCTGGCACGCAACGATCTTCAGTGTTCATCAGGCTGACATCGGTGTCCCTGGGCAGTAGGTTCGGCTGCCCCGTGCTCTGATCTCTCCACTCTAAGGAGCAGGACACCCCTCCCTTATTTACTGCTGGGCTAGCAGAGGGCTGGAAATCCTGCATTCCCAGACATGTACAATGGGAAGAAGGTCTAGAAGTTATTTGGGTTAGAGTGCAGTGGGCTGAACCCCAGGGTGGAAATCTGCCTGCCTGGGTTGAAATCCCAGTTCCGCCACTTTCCAGCCCTGTAACCCTGGGCAAGTCATCGATCCTTTCTGCGCCTCGGGGTCCTCATTGTGATATAAGGCTAACGGTGCCCACTCGCAGGATTATTAGCTGCATTCATTCATTCACTAGTTCAGTAAGTGCCTCCAACATCTGCAATGTAAATACTTAATAAATGGGAGCTCTGCAAAACATCTAAAGCGAAAGTAACTAGTGAGTGGTTTGCAGCCATTTTTTTCCTGTGCATGCATTAACATATTGTTATTTTACAAAAGTGGAACAATACTGTACAGACTGTTCTGTAACTTGTTTTTTCACCAAATAGCTTAGATTCTCTGACACTTAATAAATCTTCAAAGCATTTTCCTCTGGATTTTCTACCTATGTTCAGAACCACCCTATTGGTGGCAAGTTGTGGGTCCCGCACTTTGCTTAACCAGCCTGCTGCCATTGGATAATTAGATTATTCTCAATTTCTCCCTTCTGTAAAGTTACATAAACAAGAAGTCATTGGAGTCTACTGACTGTATGACCTTGGATATGATCTTCTCAGGCTTATTTTCTTCACCTGAAAACAAATGATATGATTCTACTAGGTGATTAAAGTCAACTGTGATCCACGGCTGAGTCACTTCCAAGACATCTCTGACAAGTAACCATCAGCTTCTGCTTGCATTCCTCTAGTGATGGGGTGCTTACTACTTTAAAAAGCCCTTTTCACTGGGCAGCTGTATTGGCCAAACAGTATCACTCATGTGTTCAACAACTACCTCCCTACAACTTTATCCTCTGGGCCCCACAAATCCAGTCTGCACTCAGGCTGGTGAATGTAGAAGGTAAGGAAACTCAATTCCTGTCTCTTGTCTTCCGTCTCTCTCTCTACTCTCCTTTCTATCCCTCTTTTCTCCCTGTCTTCTTCCCTCCATTTCTTGATGTAATAGACCTGCTAAGAACATAAGTGTGGACCATAGGGGATATTAGCTACAGGGTCAAAACTGGATCTCAGGCACCCTAAATCCCATTCTAGGGGATGGGGGCTGGGGGAGCTGAGGTTGGTGGTGGTCCCCCTGGACTGTAGCGATGGTGCCCCAGGCAGGGTCTTGGAAGCTCTGCGAGAAGAGACCCAGCTGAAGGCTGATCAGGACTACTGCTGGGTCTTTACTGGACCTGCCTGATCCTCCTTCCCACACCCACATCTAAAAGGTCCAGGAACAAGTAGATTTAAATGTAGCTGCCCGTAGAATCAGCTTCCACTATGTAAATCTGAGGCTTTAGTTCTCCCTGAGTCAGATCTGTGTCCTCTCCCAGACCTGGCACTCTTCTTTGTTCTTATTCAGGCATTCCTATTCAATATATCCTTGTTTTTTAAAAAGATTTATTTATTTATGCATATAGAACTGGGGGACAGGGCAGAGGTGCAGGGGTGGTGAGAGGCTTCACCAGAGGTGCAGGGGTGGTGAGAGGCTTCACCAGAGACAGAGTAAGAAGTAGAACAGGCCAATGAAGTACACTGCTGATGGGAGCAGCGGTTGAGACAGGAGAGGTCTGCTGTGCCTTGTGGGTCATCTCCGGAGCGGGGATCAAACTGGCACTGAGGTGGCTGCAGTTAGCATCACAGTGCTGCGCTTTAACCTGTTGCACCACCAGGAAGTGCCCCCAATATGTCCTTATTAAGAACTCACTGCATGGCTCTCTGTCAGGTGGTTGTGGTTTTTTTTTTTTTTTTTAATATTCTTGTGGATAGATAGTCAAGCAACTTATTTTTTCTTTTCTTTTTTTTAAAGATTTATTTAGTTACGTGTAAAGAACGGGGGTACAGGCCAGAGGTGCGGGGGTGGTGAGAGGATTCACCAGAGACAGAGTGGGGAGCAGGACAGGCTGACTGAGGGAGCAGCGGGCGGGTCAGGAGAGGTCTGCTGCGATGTAGGTCACCTCCGGGACTGGGGATTGCACTCGCACTGAGGTGGCTGCGGCTGGCTTGTAGTGCTGCATCCTCAGGTGGTTAAGTTTCAGAGGGAAATTTTGCCAGCCAAAGCCCCCTCTGAGCCTGTTTTCCCATTTGTAAAATAGGAATATCGGCCCCTACACCGCCTTTCCTGCAAGGACCTGGTAAGGGCAAGTCGAAGTGATGGGTAAAGGAGGGCCCTTCTGTTTGGGTGCCAACTGAGTGAATGCCCTCTTTCAAAAGAAACACAGCGCCTGCCCGATCATTGGACTTGGTGCAAAGACTTGTTGAATGAATGAATGAATAGGTGAATGATGGAAAGACTGAATGTTGGAATAAATGCATCCCCCCCCCCCCCCGCCACCCCGCCCTGCCACAGTCCCTTTCCTCCTGTGTTAACGCCATAGACAGATCCAGCCTTGAAGCCTAAGATAAGGCTTTTGGCGGGTGTCTCCCCTATCACTGTCTCCAGTGGGTGGGGGGCAGAGGAGTGAGACCTGCTGCAGCGGAACCCCGCGGGGAGACAGGCGCGGGATGGGCTCCAAGTACCCGCGGTCCCTGCGGGGCTGCCTGCCCCTGTGGGCCCTGGTGCTGGAGGGGGCTCTCATTCTCGCCTTCTTCTTTTTTACCTCCTATGACACTTCTTCAAAGGATCAGCTCTTGAGGACCTACACAGGTGAGTGTCCAGCAGGGAGGTGGTTGCAGAGACAAATAGCAGGGACAGGGACAGAGATCTTTGGTCCTCCAGGGGCAAAATACTCCTTTCCGTGAAATGGGCCCCAGAGGCTGCACACAGACCCAACCAACAATACAGCTTCTTCTTTAGGAGCAGTAAAGATAGCCCCTCTTCCGTGAAGCCTTCCTTGATTTGTCAGGGTGGTACGCAGGGCTTCCTTTTCCGTGTTCCCAGAATTCCCTCTACCCAGTGGTTTTCATAATTCTCTACTTCAGACAACTTTCCTGTCTTAGCAGCAAGGAATTTGAAGGTGGTGTTGGATTTTATTTTCTGTCTCTTTGCTTATTTCCTTATTGTCTTTTTTGGGAAGCCTGGCTGGTTGCTCCACCCCCCTCCCCCCCCACCCCCCAGCATTTTCACTTAGGGGCTGGAAAGCCTGCACTCTGTCTGCAGACCCAGAGCCATAAGGTACAGCGGAAGGGGTGTGTGGGATGGTTGTTATGTTATAGGCAGCTAAAAATAGGCTCAGACCATGATGGGAACAACTGTAAACAAAACAGATGTCCACATTGGGTGTGGCTTTGTGTTTGTTAAAAAACTGAGAAGACTTTAAGCATCTTTGTTTTTTTAAGATTTATTTATGCATACAGAACTGGGGTACAGGCCAGAGGTGCAGGGGTGAGAGATTCACCAGAGACAGAGCGGGGAGAGCAGAACAGGCAGATAGCAAGCAACCTCAGTGTTCACGACACTCCTCCGAGGAACGGCCATTATTCATACCCATTTTATAGGTAAGGAAGCTGAGACCGATTTAGAGCCAGGTCTAGGCCTGCCTCAGACATCCACCCTCTTCACCATTCGTTAGAGATGGTGTGTGGGGTAGGCAGGGTGGTGTAGTGGTTAAACCCAAACTCAGGATTCAGAGCCTCCCACTACCATCGATGAGCTGTGTGACCTGAGCTGGCAACAGCACTTCTCTGTTCTCCTCTTTCCTCCTCTGTAAAATGGGGGTGACAGGCAGCCCCCACTGACAAGGGCAGCGCAGGTTGCAGCGTGAGGCGCCGAGGGCGGTGCCAGCTATGTGTAGGGCACCAAGTACCTGCTGTGGCCCTGCTGGCAATCACTGCTCATCTCACCTGCTGCACCCCCAGCTTACTTTCCCCAAGTCCTGGGGCTTCACAGTCATCTTAAGAGTTGCCGTAGACAGTCGAATTTCCCTCCAGGGCCTAGTTATTGGGGCGCCTGTAACACATCCACTCCTATCTCCCCCGCACACCTTGAGTTCATGTGTTTATCAGACTAGCAGCTGATGTGGGGTGCAGAGTGGCTCTGAGGGGGGGGGCTGACGCTAATGAGATGCCCTGAGCTTGGGGCCAGCCCTCAAGTGGGGATCCATGTCATGAGTCATGGGAAGTGCGGGTAAGGGCTTGGCGTCTGGGAGGTAGAAGGAGGTAGGTGGTGAGAGATGAAGGAGCCCAGAGCAAATGTTTTTTATGGTGAACGGGCTCTTTCCACAATTCCAGAAACTGTCACCTTAATTTCATCCTGCTGGCAGAAGCACATAGCTCCTTCGAAGAAAGGTGGGGGCTTGGCAGGAAGGCGCTGAGCTCCAGACCTGGCAGCGAGGGTGGTAGCAGGTCTGACAAGCCCCTCCCCCAATTCAAGACCCTCTGATTTGTCAACTGGGGTACAGGCCAGAGATGCGGAGGGTGAGAGGCTTCACCAGAGACAGAGTGGGGAGCAGAACAGGCAGATCGACGAAGTGCACTGCTGAGGGGAGCAGCGGACGGGTCAGGAGAGGTCTGCCGCGCCCTGTGGGTCTCCTCCGGGGCAGGCGGGGATCGAACTCATGGGGAAGTGACTTAAGCTTCTTACTGCGGTGCTTTAACCTGCTGCGCCACTAGGGAGGGCCCTGATTTCTAAACTTTTAGGGCCACTCTTTCCTCCTACAGAAAACCTACTCAAAATAGTTCAGAGTGATGAGGTCCTCTGTGTATCAAGTCCAGCTCCCCTGGGTTACAGACAGGGAAACTGAGGCCCAAAGCAGACAAGGGATTTGCTTCACTTAAGGTCCTTCTTTGAGGAAGTCACAGGCTCCCTCTGGTCCGCTCTGTGAGCTGGGAGAGTAGAAGTCCTTGTTCATGGAGTTTCTGTAAATCTGGATTTGCTGAAAATGGCAGGTGTGTTTTATGTAACAGCAGCGGTTAATGAAAGGCTGGGTTTGAACCCCTGAAGCGCTGTGCCCAGTGGCTCACAGGGCTCACTACTCCATGTACTCATTGCACCTGTCTTAAACAGTCTCCTTGCTCCAAGTTCCTGAGGGAACGTGAGCGATCCCCAAAGGAACGTCCTATATAAAACTTGCCCAATATATCCCCATTCCTAAGAGGCAAGCAGGAGACAGGAACCCAGGCAATGTTTCTTCACCTTCACCAGCCAGAGAAGGCTCAAGAGGGTCTCTCTGGGTGTCCACTTCTCACCCACACTCCAAGTCCCCAGAGCCCATGGAGGTCCTCTGGTGTCTCTACCAAGGCCAGTTACTTTCCTTCTCTGCGCCTCAGTTTTCCTGCTGGCGAAATGGTGTTAATCATAGCTCCCTCTCATCACTGATTATAAGAACTAAAGGAGCTGGTCTTTGTAAAGTGATTAAAACACACGGTATAGACAGTTGCCAAATATAAGCTATTATAAGTTATTATAGCTCAGAGATACTGAATAAAACAGAAAGGGCCAGACCCCAGGTTTGACTTAGTTCGTCACCCAAGCAGCCAGCTGTTCTTCAAACCTAGAATTAAATCGAAGCGCCCACCCTTTCCCTCTCCCTGACCTTCTCCCTCACATGGGGCAAGGCCTGGGCACTCACCTGCTCAGCAGCCCCTGGCCAGGGTCTGCAGCTGGGAAGGTGCCTGCATCCAGTGGCTACCAGGTCCCTCTCAGCAGGGGCAAAGGGAGGCTGCTGGTCTCTGCAAAGGCAACTTGGCTCTTGTGAGAGGCGCCCTGCGCCTGCCTCTGACCCCTGGGCCGAGCCACTGGCTTTGGTGTTCTGCTGACAGCTGTCATTATGTTCAGTGACAGCAGGAATTTCTGCATTTACAGTGCACTCCCGATGGGCCAGGCCTGCCCTCCTGCGCCACCAGCCCCAGCCCTCCTCCTCCTGACCTCACCCCTCGGGAGGCCCGAGCTGTCTCCACTATGCAGGTGGGAGAATGGAGGCGGGAAGCGGAGAAGTGACTTGAGTCACTGCTCTCGACTGTCCCTCCTAGCTGCTGTTCTGAAACCTTGGCGTGCACACAGCCCCCCACTGTGTCTGCTTCTCTTCCTCCCCCCTGCACAGTCTTCCAGGATGTTGCTGTTATGGCAGCCCTCGGCTTGGGCTTCCTTAGCTCATCTCTGCGGAGACACGGATGGAGCAGCGTGGCCTTCAGTCTCTTCCTGCTGGCCCTTGGGGTGCAGTGGGCGCTCCTGCTGGACGGCTTCCTGGACCAGTCCTTCATTGGGAAGGTGGTCATCAGACTGTCCAGGTAACCGGGTGGTGCTTGGGAATGTGGGGCCTAAGAGTGGGTTCTAGAAGAGCTGGGGCATCCCCTTCTCTTCCTAACACTGAAGCCAAGCTGGACTTAGGAGACACTTACACTAGCAAATTATCCATCACTCCTCTAAAATTCCAACTGCATGGGGTATCTTATGTTTTATCTGACAGCCCCAGGCCTGGATCTGTAGCCCTTCCTAGGTCCTTTCTTTATTATTACACAATCAACACAGGCTCAAGGAAAAATTAATAAAAATGAGACCAAAAAAATTAAAATGTCACACTCAGAGACAGTCTCTTGAAAAGAAATACTCTCCCTCAACACTGGTGGGTAAAATATAGCCCTGCTTTGCCTGTCTTCAAATTAACTTTTATCCATTCAGGTGCATTTATAGGAAAGCCTAAGAACTAGAAAAATTAGCCCATGTTGCTTAAAGTTGCAATAACTTCCAGGCAGAGAGATGGTTACTGAAGATGGTTACTGAGAGATGGTTACTGATGGTTACCAAAGAAACCTCTGGGTACAGTCAACGTGCTATGCCATTTGGGGTTATGGTTACACAGGGTCTACTTGGGTCTCCTTTGACTGATGATGGGTTTATCCGGACATAATAATACTCCACTGTAAGTTAAAATTCATGGGATGCCTGTTCTATACTCACACAGGCGCTGGCTTAGCCTCGCCTACCTTTCATGTGCTCACAACACTTACAGTATCATCGCTGGCGAAGTCCCTTAGCACAAAGCCAGGTTGTTAAGAAGGTGTGGGCTGGGACACCTTTGATCCAGCGCCGCCCTGGACGTGAACAGCTGTAGGGTGTGTTTTTTTCCTTGTGATCTCCTGGCTGGCTGGGGGCTATGGCTCGCTGCCCTGCTCCCACATCCAGCCTGGGAGAAGATCAAAATTCAAAGTTTGAAAGGTGGATTCTGCTGAGTGCAGATGGCTCTCACGCCACCCCAAAGTAAAAACCTGAAAGTCAACCACTGTGTGTCAGGAAAGGTCTGGATATACAGGTCCCTGGAGCTGTGTGTGTGTTTAAAAAGGCATTAGCACTAGGTAAAAGGTCTGGGTAAACTTATTTCATAAATGTTGTGTTTTGATTTTGTCCAAGTCTGAATCTCTGTTTTACCCAGATGACGGTGACGCCCCCTTAGGCATCTTGGGGCCCCTGCCATCTCTCAAGGCTGGCTAAGCCTCATCTCTCCCTGAACCAGGCACCGTGCCAGGCACTCCCCAAACCTTTCCAGGTCAGACTCTAACCTGGTGTCCAGTCAAGGAAATAGAGACTCTCCCTTCAGAGAGCACAAGGTAATTGCTGAGGGTCACACAGCTACAGGATGGAGATGGCATCAATGTGAATGATCTGTAACCCTTCCCACACCCTGGCAGTAACCAGGACAGGAACACAGTCTAGCCAGCTGACCTGGAATAAAGCTTTCCACAGTTTTTCTTCCAAAATGTTTTAGTGATAACTCCCTGGGGACCCCAAACCTCAGTAGCTACTTGGGGAGTGACAAAGTTGCTCTGGGGGAACCCAGACAGCTCTGGCCTTGCCTGGCATTTCTGTGGCTGGGGGCACATGGGCTATCACCGCCTGCCTCTTGGGTTGCTCCCTTCAGATATGTGACCTGCAGGGATCTGTTTGTCCCACTCTGTCCAGAGCAACAAGAAGAGGCCATTTACAACCTGAGTGAACTCCCCCACCCTGACCACAAGGGTCCTCCCAGCTGTGACGGCCTATGGCCCTGGCTTCACAGACTTGAAGAGCAGGCTCCGTGCTGACTTTCCAGCCCAGCTGGCCGGCCAGCCGACAGGGCCCCCCCCCCTCCCGGGCTTCACCCGCACTCTTGTACAGCCTCCGTGGCAATGACTGGTTCTGCCTTGAGTTGCCAATGACCATCCGCATTAGAGCAGGGGTCTGTGTCCCTCAGCTGTGTTTTCCTTTCTTTTCCTCACACAGAAAGGACTTAGTGAATGGTTACTGAAACAGACATTATATGAAAAGGAAACCTAAAAGCAGTGATGTTTTTGTACTATTGGACCATATTTGAAAGATCCAGGAGAGAAACCCCGCCCCCTCAACCCCTCCGGAAGATAAGGGCAACAGCCAGCCTCCTTGAGCTGGACTCACTTTGTCCTCACCACAGCACCACAGGCCTGGCCTCCTCCTTGTAGACAAGGACACTGAGGCACACAGTGGTTAACTAATTTGTCCAGGGTCACACAGTCAGGAAGTAGCTGAGTGAGGATTCCAACTCAGCAGCCTGAATCCAGGACTGCTCTCCTTACCGACCTGCCTCAAGCCAACTGGCCCTGAGGTCTGAGATCCCACCACTGGCATACGTCCTCTTGAATGAGATCTTTGCAAATTAAACGAACACTCATTGGAAAGACTCGCCAGCCGCAGTGAACCACTGGGTAACTGCTGTGGTAAAGAACTCTAGGCCCCAGTAGACTTCTTCCCCAGGGCTCCTTTACCCTCCTCTGACCTTCTTGCTGAAGTCCTTGAATCTTAAGCAAGACACCACAATGCAGCAAACGTGGGCAGGCTACAGCCACACTCCAGAGCACAGGCCAGCTGGGGTTAAACCTCATGTTTGTCCTTAACTAGCTCTGTGGCCATTTCCAAAAACGTTACCCTTTATAGGCTCAGTGTGTTCCACATACCTTAACCACCATTTACAGGGGTCACCTGGAGGATTAAAATATCATGAGGGGGCCCTCCCTGGTGGCGCAGCAGGTTAAAGCACTGAACCTTAAAGCTTAAGCCACTTCCGCATGAGTTCGATCCCTGCCTGCCCGGGAGGTGACCACATGGCGTGGCAGACCTCTCCTGACCCGCCCGCTGCTCCCCTCAGCAGTGTACTTCGTTGATCTGCCTGTTCTGCTCCCCACTCTGTCCCTGGTGAATCCTCTCACCCTCCACATCCCTGGCCTGTGCCCCAGTTCTGTATGAATAAATAAATCTTTAAAAAAATGTATCATCCCGTGGGGATTACAATTGAGATGAAAAAAAAAAATGTGAAAAATGATGTAAAAATAAACTTTTGTAATAATTAAACTTTTTAATAAAAAAAATGTATCATGAGGGGATAAGGTTGCAAGTCTGCTACACACACTGCTCAATACATTATTGTCACCATCAGCGTCAACTCCTATGGGGAGGAACCGTTCTCAAAGCAACGTCCCTAGAGGAAGCTGGGTTGGTTTATCTATCATGGTTTGTCCTGCCTAATGCCACCTCGCCCAGGAAGCCCACCCTGATGGGTCCAATCAATTTTGCACTCGCCCTTCAGTTCATCTCTCTTGCCTGCTGATATTACAGCTAGTCTTAATCAACAGACTCGTCTCCCCCGCTGGATCCTAAGTGCCTTGAAAGCAGAAATAGTTTTTTCCTTCTGAAGTCCCATTCTCTGCACGCTCATTCATCAGGGGATCAGTTATAGTGCTAATACCGTCTGCTTCTACTTCTGAGTTATTTCTTCCTGCCAGTCATGGTGCTAGACACACAGGCAGGAATATTCCTTCTAATCCCCACAGCACGCCCTGAGATAAATAGTATTATCACTTTTATTTTCCAGATGGAGAAACAGGTTCAGTGAGATTAAATAACTGCTCAAGTGGAAAAACGGAAGCCAGGCTTGTCCTGCTTCCAAACCCGCCTCTTTCCACTACTGCGGAGGGAGACGGGTGGCAGGTGATGGGCGGCCGGCAGGTGAAGAGCGCCCTCTGTCGGGCGTCTGTGAGCGATGCCGCAGAAGAGGAGCGCGGTCGGGATCTGGGGGGGTCAGAGCCCAGAGGGGTCCTGAGGGAGGACTAGAACCTGTAAATCACTCTGGCATTCCCAGCAGAACCCCAGAGCATCCTCAGTACATACGAGTGTGTGCGGATGAGTCTCTCAGAGTGAGGGTGCCCCCTGGTGGGGGAAGGCGGTGGAGGGGACCCCAGACGGGGCAGCATCTGTTCCCACGGGGGTGGAAATCTTGTCGTCTTCAGGTCCACGTGTCCCGTTTCTGGAGCAGTGCCGGCAGAGTGTAGGTTCTCAGCACATGTTTGTTGAATGAGGGAATGAGGGAATGAGAGAACGAGAGAGCCGCCTCAGCCCGCGTCCCTCTCCCCACAGTGTCCAGCGGGCGGCCATGAGCGCCATGTCTGTGCTCATCTCTGCCGGCGCAGTCCTGGGGAAGGTGAACCTGGTGCAGCTGGTGCTCATGGTGCTCCTGGAGGTGACGGCCTTTGGCGCGATGAGGATGGTGAGCAAGCAGATCCTCCAAGTGAGTCTCTCGGGGAGCCGTGGAGGGGGCCGGGAGGGAAGGGAGCCGCCTCCATTTGGTGAGACTTGTGGCGTTAAAGAAAGTGAAGGCCGCCCCAAATGGGGCTAGTGAAATGCTTAGATGAATGCCATTGACTTCCACGGTAGGGTACTGTCGGATCAAGCTGGTCACACGATAATTATGGGCTATATAAAAGGATAATCCATACCCAAGCCCCTCCAGCAAGGCCCAGCAAGCTGCAGGCCAGGCCAGCGTCTTCCTTCAGAGCAGGTTACTGGTCAGTAACTGTCACCCAGGCGACTGCAAACATCTCAGGCTGAGGCCAGTAGTAAGGGTGAGGCCAGCAGGTCAGAGGCCCCTGACCCCAAGGGATCCTCTGGGCAACCTCCCCACCCCACAGAGAAGAAAGCAGATGCCTGGCATGAGACAGTAATTCCCCAGGTCCCAAGGCCAGGTGGTAGCAGAGCCCAGGTGAGAACCCAGAAGCAAGCCTTAGGAGAACAAGCACTGGCCTGGGAGTCAAAGACAGGTTTGATTCCCAGCGCTGCAGTAAAGCCTCCCCCAGTCCCCTCTGAGAGCAGCAGCTTCCAGTTCTTCACCTGTAATGTGAGGCAGCTGTGCCCACCCCGCCCCCAGGGTTGGGAACTAACTGAATTAAGTGAAATGATGTATATTTGTTGTTTTTCCCCTTTAAATCATGAGGGCTTTGGGCAATTGTTCAGTATCTCAGAATGAAGACTTTGGGTAAGCCTCAGAAATACAGGGAGCATTGTGGGGTTTGAACAGAAGAGAGAAGTAATGTGCATCATGTTTTTTTTTTTTTAAGATTTATTTATTCATACAGAACTGGGGTACAGGCCAGAGATGGGGAGGGTGAGAGGCTTCACCAGAGACAGAGTGGGGAACAGAACAGGCAGATGGATGAGGTACACTGCTGAGGGGAGCAGCGGGCGGGTCAGGAGAGGTCTGCCGTGCCATGTGGATCTCCTCCGGGGCAGGTGGGGATCGAACTCATGCAGAAGTGGCTTTAGCTTCTTAGTGCAGTGCTTTAACCCACTGCACCACCAGGGAGGGCCACTGTGCATCATGTTCTGGTTCAGTGAAGGTTCAGTCAAGTTGGGGTCAGTGGGGCCTGATAGAAAAAATGATGCCAACGAAGGCATAGTTGGCAACATTTACCGGCAGCCCCCAAACTGAATTAGTAAGGGTTACCAACTTTGATATACATAAAGCAACATTAACAGGTACCTAGATTTTACTTAGTACCCTAGTTTTGTACTAGAAGGAGTCTCACTGCCTGGTTGCACGATTTGTATTACTTATCACTCCATGAAAAGTGTCAAAATTGTACCAAAAAGTAGGAAGCGGTGGGGCGTGGGCCCATATGTCTTTTTGTGGATCTTCGCCAAAAGCATTTGCGAGCTATTGATCAGGCTAAACAGCAGGTCTCTGGCATAAACACATAGCTGTTCATGGGTCCTGGGGAAGGCAACTAACTGCTGGGCTGGGTGAACTCCAAATACCGTCTCATGACTTCAGATCACACCTCCTACATGAAGCTCAGGGGCACAGTGGCAGGGGGAGGGGGGCCCCCCGCAAACAGAGGCCACTGGCGCTCACTGCTGTGGACGGGTGTTGCTGCAGGTGGAAGACCATGTCAGCATGATGCATGTGCACGTGTTTGCGGCCTATTTCGGGCTGATTGTGGCCTGGTGCCTGTCACGGCCTCTTCCCAAGGGCGCAGAGGAGAAAGACCAGACAGCAACGAGCCCCAGTTTGTTTGCCATGCTGGGTAAGCACAGGGTGGGGGTGGGGGGGTGCCTGGGAGGACCCAAAGGCTCCAACATGACTGTGGCCAGATCTCCTCCTTTCTCAACCATCCCTGGGTGTCTCTTTTATCAACCATCCCTCCAGAATGACTCATTTTCTCCAGCAGTATTTGCTGGGTTCACACTTGAGTGAAGCTGTTTCTCCCAGGGAACCTCTCTCTCCATTAGTGCCAAAGAAGGAAAGAGACTCATCCCGGCTGAGTTTAAATAGGATTAGCTAATCCTTTAGTACCAGTTTAAAGGAGGGCATTGGACAAGTGAAGCAGACCCTGGGAGTGAAAATGAACTCAGATCTCAGATGAGCCTAGAGGATTGGCCGGGCAGGGACAGAATGAGTGTCAGGCCATAGTGCTGCACTTTAACCCGTTGCTCCACCAGGGAGGGACCCAGGCAGCTCTTTTTTCTATTTGTGCGATCTACATTCACAGATTTCAAGCACTCCTGAAAGTGTGGTCAGCTGAATCTGCAGATGCTGGACCAGTGGCTACCAACTAACTATTCAACATATGTGGGGTTTTTGGAGGGTAGGGCACCTGAACCCCATATTGTTCAAAGGTGAGGAGGCATGGGAGTGAGTGATTTCAACTCTCTGGGCCTTCGCTTCCTTGCCTGTAAAGCACACCAGCTACTTCTCCAACGTGAGAATTCAGAGGAGGCATGACTTACCTTTAGCTCTAGAAAGAGCTAGAAAGGAACAAGGCTGATACTTCCCAGCTCTGGGAGTCTCCTGTTGGAGGCTCAGGCTTGGAGCAAGTGGTTCATTGACCCTCTCTGGCCCCCCAGGCACCCTCTTCCTGTGGATGTTCTGGCCAAGCTTCAACTCTGCTCTGCTGAACTTACCCAAGGAAAAGAAGAATGCCGTGTTCAACACCTATTATGCTCTTGCAGTAAGCGCGGTGACAGCCATCTCCATGTCGACCTTGGCTCACCCCCAAGGGAAGATCAACATGGTGAGGAGAGGGCTGTGCCTTGGGTGGCACTTGGGTTTTCTGAGTCTGACACACATATTCATGCCCCTCCCCCACACCAGCACCAGCCCCACAGGTAGGGAGGAGCCTGCGGTGGTGGGGAGATAGAGGCCTATGTGCAGGGTTGTGGAGTATCTGGAAGAATCCTGCCCAAGTCGCACTGGGACACAGGAGTCTGGAGGGGGCAACTCAGGCCGCTGATGCTAACGTTACACAGACCTCAGTTGGAACCCTGTTTCTGCTAGTTACTAAAGCCACACGAGCAGGAGACATCAGAGAGGACCTATCATGGAGCTGTCAGGCTCCCCTCCTCCCCAGGAAGTCTCCAGGATGGCATGATCTGAGTCAGGAGCAAAGCAGTAGAGAAGCCGGGTGACCTTAGTCAAGCCACTTAAACTTTTGGCTTCAACTACATCATTCGTAATGTGGGAACTAAGAGAATGTAGGGGAAGTCGAGAAGATTCTTTATTGCCTTCACATGGATTAAATGTTGGGCAAGCATTAGCTACTATTATCAGTGTAGCTGGGGTGCAGCTGTGTGCACGAGTTTCCATTGGAGAGGTGGGGAGAGAGGGTCTAAGGAGAAAACAGGGTGTGGGGGCAGCTGGCCTGCTGTGGTGGGAAGTCAGGACAGGACTAGCCTGGAGGAGGTGACAGGTCAGCAGTGTAGCTTACAGCACTAACGGGAGTGGGTGTCCCCACCGGTGGCGGGAGTCTAGGCTCAGAATAGGCGCAGAATCCAGGGAGGCCGCTCAGGGCAGCCCAGACTGTTGGCCAGGCAGGGTCCAGGTGTGGCGGAAGGAAGGGCCCAGCAGAGGCGAGACCAGGAACCAGGGGCCGCTTAATGGGTCCATTCGTGCAGGGTGGCAGAGGCGCTAAGTTAGCTAATAATAAAAGTAAATAACGATACAAACAACAATAATGGCCTGTAATTATTGGCATTCATTCACGTCCTCTCCCAAGCTCTGGGCTTTGAGTTTGACGTGTGCTAACTCATTTTATTCTTACAGTAACTGTGCTAAGTAGTGTGATCACCCTCCTCCACTCTTCTAGAGGACAAGGTGAACCATGAGCACCAGTGAAGTGCCACAAGACACTTCACTAATTCGTGGGGCGTGGCTGGGCCCTAAATGCCTCTCAATCAGGGTGACTGAGCCTTAGAGGTGGGCAGAGAAGAGGCCATTGATGAAGGCCACGTGGTCTCAACAGCAGGGAGGGGCGGTTGGGGTCGGGGAGGCAGGGAGGACATCTCAGGGCCGCTCGCTGCCCGCCTGCTGGGGTATTTGGGCAGATGCCGCTCTCTGTGGCCCTCCTCATTCCTCATTCCGCTCCTTTGTAGACTCACATCCACAACGCGGTGCTGGCGGGAGGTGTGGCCGCGGGGCCCCCGTGCCACCTGATCCAGTCTCCCTGGATAGCCATGGTGCTTGGCCTCTTGGCTGGACTGATCTCTGTCGGGGGAGCCAAGTGCCTGCCGGTAAGGAGCCTCTGCTTTGGCTTAAACCTGGGACCGTGGTGGCCGACCCGGGGCGCCGTGGGCAGCATCAGCAGGGGCTGGCACTCTCTCGAAGCCTGGGTGAGGGTCTTATCCAGGTTGAAGGGCTAATTGATTACCATCCATGGGCAAGGCACAGGCTTTCTCCTGCATACGGGGGCGTTTTTTACGGTGTCACACACCCCAAGAATTGGGGTGCTGTGGGGAGTCCAAGAAACCCTGCTATTCTTCCTTTGCTTTTCCTGAGTATCTGCTCTGTTCCCACTCTGTGTTTTCTTACTCTCATCCCTCATTAAGAGAGGACCCAGGTGGGATCTCTTGGCTCCAAGCCCAAATTCTCTGGAGAAGGGCTCATGGCTGAATTTGGGTAATGTGTCTGTTTTGGGTGGGGGAGGGGCACATGCTGTACCTGGCTGCTGCCCCGGAGCCATGTGAGTGGCAGTGGGGGGCAGCACTGAGAGAAGAGGGGGCACTGATCCAGGCCCTGCCCACTTCTGACTGTTTCCCTCTCCTAAGTGGGTGGGCTTCTCTTCCACATTCAACAGGCACTGACTATACCAGAATCCTCCATTGTAGCTAACCCGTTGTAACACTTCCAAGAGAAATATTTAGGATCGACCAATCTCTGTAGGTTTGAGGCCTCGATGGCACACAAAGGAGTAGGCTTTGAACAGTTCCAAAAGCTGAATTTGAATAATCAGCAGGCTGAGGGAGGCAGCCTCAGCCCAAAGGAAGGGAGTACCTCTAGCAGTTTCATTTGACCAAAGACATCTCACATAGAGACTCCGATGGTGAGTTGCTTTTCATCTTGGAAATGAGAACAAGTGTCCTTGACTTCCTGGCTCTGAGCCTCTATGATGAGAGGAGGGCAGACCCAGCAAAGAGCCCCTCCGATGATCAGACTTAGGCCACCATGCCCCTTGCCTCAGTTTCCCTGACTCTCCCTGGGGGACCAATTCAGAGGTGACGCAGTCATCACACACTGACTCACCCACTCACTCATTCATGTGGCACCCATGTCCCTCACACTTACCTGCTCCCCGACCCGTCGTGTCGTGAGGGAAACAGGCAAATAAACACCACACAGCTTCACCAGGGCGAGGCCAGGCATGTCTCAGCTGGGAGCTGGCAGATCGCTAGCACTAGCCAGGTGGAAGTGGGAAACGGGCTCCCCAGAAGGAGAAGTGGTTCGGGCGCGTGGCCCAGTCAGAAGCACCGGGCTCCAGCACCAGGCTCTCAGCAGCCATGGGCCACGGAGGGGAGAGGTCTGTGCACTCCCTGGGGTAGCTGGGGCGTCTGGGTCTTCATGCTGAAGACAGTGGGGATTCTGTGGAGAAAGGAGCCTGACTACTCTGCATCTGCATATTGTGTCTGTGGACTAAGCCCTCTGGGAGGCTAACTGGGGCGGAGTGCGAGCATCGAGGAGCTGACTTTTCTTCTAGGATGACAATTCAGTCTGGGCTGACCCCACAAGTTTTTTGTTTTTTTTTAAAGATTTATTTATTTATGCATGTAGAACTGGGGTGCAGGCCAGAGGTGTGTGGGGGGGGGCGGTGAGAGGATTCACCTGAGAGTGGGGAGCAGAATAGGCAGATCTACTGAAATACACTGCTGAGGGAGCAGCAGGTGAGACAGGAGAGGTCTGCTGCACCATGTGGGCCACCCCTCTCCCCCAGCTGGGGATCGAACTCATGCTGCAGTGGCTGCAGATTGCTTCATAGTGCTGTACTTAAGCCATTGTGCCACCAGGGAGGGCCCTGAACCCACAGGTCTTAATCACCCCCTGGGGATACTTGCCAATCCCTGGAGACATTTTTGCTCAACACCTTGTGGCGGGAAGGGAACTACTAGCACCTCAAGGGTACAAGCCAGAGCTGCTGCTAAACCTCCTACAATGCCCAGGATTGTCCCCCCACCCCCCAGAATCTCCAGTCCCCAAAGTGAGCAGGGCTGCTCAAAGGGGTGCTGGAGCAACAGCCATGGCATTGCTGGGGGTTTTGCTCAAAATAAGGTTTCAGCTCCACAAGCCTTAAAGTTGATTCCGCATTTTACAAGCTCCTTGGGTGACTTGAGTGCACACTGAAGCCGGGGAAGAGCTTCTCCCCTTTGGAGGCCCTGGATGCCGATGCCAAGTCCTGTGAAGAGGTGGGTTTGGGGAACCTGGACTCCCATGCTAATAACGGTGTCTGCCCGCAGGTGTGCTTCAACTCCGTGCTGGGGGTTCACGACACCTGCGGCGTGCACTACACCTTTGGCCTGCCAGGTCTGCTGGGAGGGGTCACCTACATTGTGCTGATGCTGCTGCAGGCCCACTGGGCCAGGAATCCCATGTGAGTCACTTGGTTCCCCCTGGGGACCCCTCCCCAACTCAGGAAGAAATGTGCCCAGGACCCTGAGCTGCATTCAGGGCCACTCAGCTGGCCTCAGTGGATATTGGGTGACTGATTTATCAGAAACTCTGCCCAGCTCCTACCTTGCAAGGAAACATCCCCTCTCCAGGCTACTTACTCCACAAAGGGGCAGCAGAGATGCAAGACAAAGGCCAGTATTCCTGAGGTTCCCCAGATGAGGAGCCTCAGGACACCGAGGTGATGCGACTTACCCAGAGTCACACAGCTGGTGACAGACAAGGACTTGAACTTGGGTTTTCTGTCCCATGTGTGATCCACAGGTGTGAGGATTAGTCAGCCAAAGCGGATATGGGAATTTCCCCTCCCCTCCCTACGTACCTGCGTGGCTCTGCAGGGACAATGACAGGGGAATGTCCCCCTGGGAGGGGGCTCTGGCTCTGATGTCCTTCCTGACAGCATCACCACGGAGGCAGAAGTCCCTTTTGCCCCTGATGACCTCTGCACCTGATGCCTGACTGTGACCACCTCTGCTCTGTCATTCCCAGGATCAGCTACCAGATGCTCATCGACACTGGGGCACTCAGCTTGGCCTTGGCCATGGGCTTGGTGTCTGGTCTCCTGACAGGTCAGTGTAGACTGCTCTTCTTTTACAGCTTCCCAGGACACAGGGCTGGGGTGCAGAGTGCCCCTGCCTGTAACTGGACATGTGCATGACCACCCCTTCCCCTGGAAACTGACCCCCTCAACTCCCAACCAAATGAGCAAAGAGTTCAGGCCTTAATTAAGTCACAAATGCAGAATCTTATCATTTTAGAATTGGAAAATCCCTGGGAGGTTACCTGCTAGAGGTGTTTGCCTCTTTATATGTTTTTTTTTTTTTTTTTGACATTAGGGAACTGGTGATTAAAAAGAGCTTGGAGAATGGGAGGGAACAAAGCCTCCAATGTGGCCCTCAAATGTCAAGCATTGCCAAGCATTTCACTTCTTTTTTTTTTTTTTTTAAAGATTGATTCATTTGTACATACAAGAACTGGGGTACCGGCCAGAGGGGCAGGAGCATTGAGATGATTCACCCAAGACAGAGTGGGGAGCAGAGCAGGCAGATCAGCTGAAATACACTGCTGAGGGGAGCAGCAGGTGAGACAGGAGAGGTCTGCTGCATCATGTGGGTCACCAGCGGGGCTGGGGATGGAACTCACGCTGAAGAGCTGCAGCCAGCTTTGTAGTGCTTCACTTTAACACGTAGCGCCACCAGGGAGGCCCCGAATTTCATTTTTAAGAGTATGAGACCCTCATACTCAGAGCCAGTTATATCTTTATCTCAAGATACAATCTTATTAATACAAATAGAAAAAGGCCTCCCTAGATTAGAGGTAGGATAGGTTCCTAGAGGTATGGCATACTGGTAGAAGTTAGAACTGAAAGCGGACAGCCTCACAGGAAAAGAAAACCAGCCCAGGAACACAAAAAGCCAACAGCTCTGTGCCTTCTCTGACCTTTTTGATTTCTGTCTCACAAGACAATAATGTTAGGTGGATTTTCTCAGAGATGCATCAGCCACAGCTGCCTGGAAAGCCTAGGTAGCAGGGATCCTTGCTGAGTGATTTTAAGTAAGTGACACGGGCTGCTAGTGCTTTGCGTGCTGATATCCCTGAAAGTTGGGCACTGCAAAAGGAAAATCAGGATGACACACAGCTACTCCTTTGCGATGATCAGCATTAAGCGCGCACACATCCATCTCGTAGTGTTGTGCCCTGTCTCCAGGGGAGGGTGAGTGCACTGTAATGTGCCCTGGGGAATTTGGCAGCGGGGGAAATGCACAAGGCCCAATGGTCAGGGCAGAGGCGGGATGCCTAAAAACAGGCAAACAAGAACCAAAGGAAAAAGATAACAGGGCCCCCCTGGTGGCGGGATGGTTAAAGAGCAGCACTGCGATTAGCCACTGCGCCAGCACCACTTGGATCCCGGGCGGGGAGCTGACCCGCAGGGCGCGGCAGACCTCTCCTGTCCGCCTGCTGCTCCCCTCAGCAGTATGTTTCATTTGATCTGCCTGTCCTGCTCCCACTCTGTCTCTGCTGAATCCTCTCATCCTCTGCACCTCTGGCCTGTACCCCAGCTCTGTATGCATAGATAATTTTTTAAAGACTAAAGAACAGGCGCAACAGCTAACCAATGTGAGCAATGACTTTCCTCAGCACACAGTGGAATCTTGAGCCCAGGTCAGGGGAGTTGCAGGAGCCTGTGGGCTCAGCTCCCTGGACCCTTCTCCAGTTGCTCTCTACGGAAGCTCTTGTGTTAAATGAGTCAGCTCGTGAGTTGGGGAGCAGGCAGCTGCCAAGCCCCAGATCCATGAAGCTCACCTGCTTCTCAGCACAAGCCGAATCCTTTGGAGAGAACTGCTTTTTCCAGTTCCTTTAAGAGGATGTCTAGGGTGTTTGCTACGCTGCCCCAGGAAGGCCAGTGCTTCCGCTTATCTCCTGGCTGTAGGAGAAAAGGGACTTTTGTTGAGATACCATAAAGGGCCTGTGATGTTCTGATTCACTCTACGATAACAAGGGCTGTTTCCCAAACGTTTAACATTTCATTATGACTTTAAACAGGTTTGCTCTTAAAACTCAAAATATGGAGAGGACCTCATGTGGCTAAATACTTTGATGACCAAGCTTTCTGGGAGGTAAGATTTTTAGCCTATTCATGCCATGGATTTTTATTGAGAGAATTAAGAAAGCTATTTGGCATATGTGTGAGCTTGGTGTTTATGAGAGTGAAATGAGAGCAAGTGAAAGTGAAGAGCAATGGGAAGAGCAAATCCCTGTGTGTGTGTGTGTGTGTGTGTGTGTGTGCTGATGGGACGTGGTATAGGTTACTATTTCCCAGATGCCTGGAAGTCCTTGAGGACTAGGGATGACAGACCAGGCCACATGTGTCCCCATCTGGAGTCATCGAAGTGGGAAACTAGTTTGACACGAAGGTGATCAGATCCTGTAGTGTGGGAGTGGGCGGGACCCACAGTGACCAGTAGATATGGTCCCTCGCTGGACAGATGCTCGGCGTGGGGGGATCTGTCCATCCTCCAGGGAGAGGCTGAGCTGCGTGAGAGCACAGCTCTTGATGAGTGAGACTGAAAGGACACTCAATCCCTTGCAGTGTGGCGATTGGGGGTCACTGAGCCCAGGGACTGGCGCACAAACAAGCCAGCTGCTGCTGAGGGCCGCTGTGACGTCGCAGGGTTTGTCTACTGGGTTAGGAAAGTGGGGCTCATCTTCTATCACCCCACTGCCGCCCTCCCTTTGATCCACAGTCATAGTTCACAAAGCGCCCGGCTGTGATGTGCCAGTCCACACAGGGGTGGCTGCCAAGTACTGCCGAGTTATAAATGGAAGTGGGGGTCAGGCTGATGCTGAGCATCTTCCCTTTGTGAGTGACAGAGACTAGAGGAGTTGCAGCCCCAGGCAAATCCTGTCTCCACCCACCCGCAAGACACTGATCGCCAAAGGGGACAGAGACCAACCAAATCATGCACTGGCATTTTGTATCTGCAGGGACAAAACAGAAACAATCCACCTTTCCTCCCTTTCACATTCTATCTACTTCCCTCCCTTTCTCTTCCTCTTTAAATTACTTTAGGGAGATAGAGTTGACAATGAAATACAAATATTTAAACCATCACCATGTCCATCAGCGCCAAATCTGTCCTTCTGTCTTTCTGAAACTGCTCCCCTCCCCCAGGCAATCACTGAACTATTTTGTACCATTATGCATTCATTTGAATTGTCTAAAGTTTTATGCAACTGGAATTACAGGATACCTCCTCTTCTCCATGTACTATTCCAAGAGTCAACCATGCTGTTGAGTGTAACCGCCTCATTTTGCAGCAGCTTCTCTGTGCATATGTTGGCCCCTGGCTTCTCCCGAGTCTCTCCCAGTGCCTTGCAAGTCTTCTTGCCCCTTTCGTAGAAGCAGGGTAATCTAGTAAAAGGACTCAGGAAACTGGTTGCATCCTACCATCATTCCACAACTAGTTATCGGGCTGCTATTATATACTGAGCACTCTGCCACTTAGCCATGGACACAACAAACATCCAGCCCAGTTATCTGAGTTGTAATCGAGACAATCCAAGAAACCCTACCTAACACTGGCCGCTACTGACAGGGGCCAGGTGTGCACCTGGAATGAGAAGACCTGCGTGCCAGTCACCACTCTGCAAGGTGGCAGTAGGCAAGTTCCTTCATCTCTTGCTGGTCAAGTAAGAACAGTAATCTTTGTTCCACCTCACTGCGTTGTTTTAAAATATCAGATGAGGTCATAATGTTGAACTATACTCTGTAAAATGCAAAATCACCACGTGAAGGTGAAAGTCCATTATCCAGGGTATAGCCAACCACAAAAGACTATGTGAGCATCATCGTAGTCATTTCATGCAAGCCTGCTGCTGATGACTTTGATGCTTGTAAACCATCTAAAAGGACGTTTTGAGTATCACCGAATACCCTATTGACTCACATAAACCACACTGCTGGGGGTTGGAAGGGACAGTCCTTTATTGGTTGCCCAGATTGTACCTTACACATCCTGAGAAGGGGCGCTCCCCACCATCCAAGGGCATCCCTCATCCTTGGATGGGTCTATGAAGATGCAATCCTAACTTCACTCTTTCATTCTACACTATTATCTAAAATGTGACAGGTATTTGTGTGAAGAGCTGGAGGCAAATTTAAAATAAAATATACATTGAGGCCTCAGGATCTGCCTATATTAACCCTCCATCCTCCTATAGATTACAATGATCCTAACCCAGATCCTGAATTACACAAATTACAAAAATACACACAAATTCATGTGTCTTGTGCCCTAAGAGAATCATTTCTTTGTTCAACTTCCTGTTTCAATTTACAAAACAATGGATTTTATTTCATGCTTTCCAAAACATAACCCATTGACATTGCTTGTTAAAATTAATTCCAGAGTTAACCTTTCTGATAAAGGGATTTTTTTTTAGATGAATCTCCTCTGGTCAGCCCCTATTTCTGAGTGTCATGGGGGTACAGAGAAACTGGGGGTCTAAACCATTTAGGAGTGGATCTTTACCTGTGCTCAGCTCTATTGTGTACTAAACAAGTAATCCTGGTAGTAGCTACTGCAAGAGTCAGAAGGAGGTTGCCAAGGTAGGAAAAAATGGAAGCTGGAAGTGTATTGGATTTGACTGGGTGATTGGCCACAACAGGCATTTCAAGAGAAGTCGGGGGTGGAGGCGGGGCGTGTGAGCAAGATTGGGAAAGCTGGAGCAACCTGGCTCAGCATAGCTGATAAAGAGAAGGCTGGAAGGTAGACAGAGCCACTTTGGTCAACTGGAAACTCCCCAGGATTTCAGCGGGGAGGTGAGGCATTAGAATGAATGTTTTCAAGGTGATGAGTACAATGAGATTGACCAAGTGGGATGGACTCTGAGATGACTGCAGAATGCTCCACAGCTTCCCGTATTTGTATATTTGAACAAGTATTTGCAGTTTATTTTTTTAATTGTATTGCCAAGAAACGTAAACACCACCACTGTTCTTGGAACAAAAACACAACAAAATGTGTTGAGTTCCTCCTGCTGTTTTGTGTGAAATTCTTAACACCTGGCCTTGTAACATGGCTGCTGATTTAAAATAGATGTTTTAGACACACAGTAAGGGGCTAACAAATACTTGTTCAACCACAGTGGGGAAACTAGCTTTTGAAGTAGGGAGACAGCGCAGTAGTCTGCCGGCTCGGCTCCCCCTACCCTCTCAGAGAGGCCCACTGAAAACAGCATTGTCTGGGTGGCAAATCTAAGTTCCAGAACTGGCTCACCCTCTGGCAGGCTGGCGACCCAGGCAGGCCACTTTAAAGTGAGATGAAACTCCACATTCTGGATCTAGACAGATCTGAGTTCTCCTACCTGTGATTTCTCAGAGCTTCTATCTCACCAGCTCGGATTTGGAGATGCTAATCATCTCACACTAAGTTGTGAGGATTTAAAGGAGAAAATGTTAGCACACTGTCTGACACCTCCAAATGCTAGCTACTCTGAGTTCCAGGTCTATATTGGTGACCCAATTGGTGTCGGATATCAGGGCTTAATGACACAGCTAAAGGACTCAGAATACAGAAATTTTTAGAAGACCCAAAGGACACTTATCATCAATCTTCATAAACCCGACGGTCATGTGGAAGAAGAAAAATTTTTTCTATGCTTCTCCAAAGATTTTAACTAGGCCCAGTGGCAATGCAGTATAAATTGCTACCAATTTGAACTGTCTGCAAAATAGAATGAGATTCCTGTAGTAGTGAGTCCCCAGTCAATAGAGGCATTCAACAAAAGACAGGAGACTATTTATCAATGATCCATACAAAGAGCTATTGGAAATGAGATTTAAGAGTTCTTCCAGTGCAGATATGAAAGAAACTCTCAGGCTTTTGTGATGCGGTCCTATTTTGGTCAACATCAGTTTTGAAAAGATCAAGCCAGAATTTATACGTGTAAATAATGTGAAAATATGAGGGTTCATCTATAGTAAAAATGTTTTGCTTTTACAGTTCCCTCATCTGGCTGTTGGATTTTAGGCAAAATCATCCAAGAAAAACAAGGTCTGTTTGCAAACAAGATCATTCCTTTCACCATTCCCACCTTCCTGTGTATGTGACAAATGCTTGTTACAACCAAGATTCCTTATGTACAATGATGATACAAGATCAGAGATGAATTTGACATTAAAAAATAATAGATAAAAAATGTGTTCAAGTAATTTCATAATTGCTTTAAACACATATGTTTGGTTTCTTTAAAGATGATGCTATCAGTATCTTCCTGGATGCAAATGATTAAGGTTTTGGTTCAATTTTATTGACTATTGTTAGGTTCTTGCTCATGCTTGTTAGTAAAGTATGCTACCCAGTTACCTCTTGTCAACATTAGTAACACATGTGGTAAAAAAAATAGGGAAAAATAAAGAACTCAATTTATATTTTCAGTTACTATAGACATCATGCTTTTTATTCCAGCCATTTTACAAAGGACTTCTTGTACCTTTAGTATATTCTGAATCTTGCCGTGGGGAAAGATCACAGTCAGTGGGGAGATAACACTCATCAATATTAAAGTGCTAGTTTCGTGATCTTGAGGAAATCATTTCAAATCCCCATGGTCTGGGTTCCCTCATTCCAGAAAGAGAAGGTGGACTTCAACTTCTACGGTCCCCTCCGACTCTCATATCCTACAAATCTAAAAACTCACCAGGAGTGATATGCTGTGAGATGTCAACAGTCACTTCTTGAGTAGGGTCTCGCTGACCAGAAATACCTAAAACATATGTGCTAGGAGAAAAGAGTGGCTGAGGTGGAGAAAAGGTCCACAAACTTAGATCCTCTAAGAGAAACGTCGTGTTTCGTGAAGGGCTGATTGTGACAGGTTTTATAAAGGAAAACATTTCAAGCTATTGTTCTGAGAGTCATGTATCCCAGAGTTACTGCGTTCATTAAAAAAAAAAACACCCCATTTTGCCAGTTGGGGATTAGCAGTTCCAAAGAGGAACAGATTGGGGAATTCCAGTGAGTCAATTTTTAGTGATAATTAATTGACCTTGCTGGCCTATTTTGAGCTTAGTGGTGAGGTTCAGGGAGAAAACGCAACATGGAATTAAATATTTTACCAAATCAACAAGAGAAGACGCGTCACCTGAGTAGAGACTGCCATCTAGCCCTGCGCTTTTCCTGTCCTGCCCCGGTGGATGGGAGCAACCAGCAGCGGCCCACCAGGACCTGCGTCATGGCCGGATCGGGGGCCCAGGGGCTGCCTGAGCCTGGTGGCCAGTCACAGGGCTTCTCTTCAGACCTGCACACCTGCACCTTGGCAGAGCCTCACTGGCTACATACACAGGAATGTTTCTAGAATTTTTGGTAAAACCATTAAACCAGATACAAAGTAAAGTGATGAAGAATTCTGATCACTAGTTTTTCAAAACGAGAAAATGTTTATATTTCATTGAACATCAACACAGAAGAGGCCACATTTAAGCACATGTTAAACCTCCAGCCAGCGTAGCGTCAGCCTTGGACATGATATTCGTATATGCTGTATCCGTCATTTCTTCTCTAACTTAATCTCAGTTTTACAAATTATGCCATGATAAAACTTAAAAAAGAAAAAGTGACTCGTGTGAGATGTCTTCTGGCAACTCTGGGGAAGCCAGCCAAATGCATCTCACAGTAGATTCTGGCGGGTGTTCCTTAAGTCGGGAGTTCTCATGATTTCAGTGTTACACAAACTGAAGCTGGAGACCACACGCAGACATAAGTCTAGAAAACGGCATTACAAAAGGCTGGGGTGAGGAGTAAAAAAAATCCGAGGGGGGCTGCTGACAGGAGTCAGAGTGTTCACTGCCATAAGTCTTCAGTGCGGCCAAACTTAAAAACCAGTCCTCTGTGAATAAAACAAGGAGACATCACATGGCTAGTTGAGTTTGGGAAAGAAATGTGCGATTTGGAGAATGGTGGGAAACTAGAAAGAAAGAATAACTGATGAGTTGTATGAACAAATCCACAGGATGTATCAAACCAGAAACAGCTCATGCCAAGCTAGTAAATTCTTCTGCTGTGCTTAACTAGCTTCCCCACTTCCTGAGCGCCTGAGCGCTGGAGACACATGCCGCTCTTAAAGGTTAATCAGTGTTTAGTGTGAAAACAGTGTGTGTCTGATTTTTATCAAATTCTTTCACTAAAGCTTTGGAGTTTCGATGTGCTTACATGTTAGATTCTAGGGCGGCAAAGATAGATAAGATGTACAGTCTCTGGCCTCACAGTGGCCATATGGTTGGTATGGGGGGTGGGGGCTTTACTAAATGTGAAGGGAACAGAAACATACTAAACTAATTCTGCCTGAATGTGAAGAAAAGGATTTACAGAGGTGGTAATATTGGAGGTGGGCTTTGACAGGCGGGCGGGAATTTGAATGAAGGCAGGCAGGCCTGGACTAGTGGGATGTTCCAGAGAGGAAACAGCCTACCAAAAGGCAAAGAGGAAAATAAGGCCCTTAGAAGCCTTACATGAGGGGGCACCTGGTGCTCAGTCCAGCTGACACGCACAATGGGGCTATGCAGATGCATCCCTGGTTGCTGCTGGGTAGGTGTAGGGGTAGAGGACAGGCTTGCCAGAGCTTCCAGTTTTTCAAGAACATCCCCCAACTCTGATTTTTATGTGAGATCTCTACTTTTAAAGCGCTGGCTCAAGAAGACAAAGACTGCTGTACATGACAGATAGACCAGGATGTGACCTGGTAGCCCTGGAGTGGCTCTCCTATAGACAGTTCAGAGTTTGGAAGACTTGTTTTGTTTTTAAAGACTTATGTATTTATGCATACAGAACTGGGGTACAGCCCACATGTGTGGGGGCAATGAGAGGATTCTCCAGAGACACAGTGGGGAACAGAACATGTGGACTGGCTGAAATACACAGCTAAGGGGAGCAGTGGGTGGGTCAGGAGAGGTCTGCTGTGCCACGTGGGTCAGCTCCCTGGCCAGGGATCAAACTTGTGCCAAGCGGCTACTGAGAGCTTCGCAGCCCTGTACTTTAACCCACTGCACCACCAGGGACGGCCATGGAAGAGTTTTTAAATGGGAAATGAGATGATCATTGTTATGTGTCAAGAGGAGAACTGGCCTGGAACAGCTGGATCTGAGCTCTGGAAGGGATGATGACCACAGGTCAGAAGAGCAGAGAACTGGCATGGACACAGGGGCAGGCCTCACAGACTGTGGATGGGGGCAGCTGCCGGGAGAAGCTAAAGAGACAGACAGTTTTCATGTCTGCTTTCTAGTTACTGGTGTACACTGACTGTTAATCCCATGTGATTCATTTCAAACGGGTTTCAGAAGGTCTTTATAAAACACTTGAGTACTTCTAGTTGGAAACAAAAATGCAGCCAGGAAGTCAACTATTCCCTCCCTTAGAACTATCCATTTCTCTTTATAAGGATTTTCTAAGTCTCCCAAAGGTGATTTGATTTCTGCTAGTCCAGTTACTATGAGCCCTATTGCTGCAAAGCTGGTTATTAAGGGCCTCTACTCTCCAGGTAGCTGAGAGAGGTTACCACTTCCGGACCCTAGTCAACAGCTGGAAACTACAATCTGAAGAGTTCCTTGGACAACAGCCAGGCCTCCGGCACTGTCAGCTGGTGACCTTTGCCACTCGCCATCTGCTTCTTATTTTGAAACAGCAATTTCTAAGCTGTTGCTGAGCATTGTTCTAGTAGAACTCAGGGTGGGAGGCAATCTGCTACAACTATTCTGTGCCTGTGACTCAAATTAATTTCAATATACTTATAGTATTTTAAGAAAGAATTGTTTTTAGACTTAACAGGTATGAGAGTAAGACATGAGAAATTAATTAACTTGTTGTAAATAAAAGTAATTTATTATAACTAATTTGAGACAATGAAGTCAGTGACTGGGCTTCCACGATTTTATAAGTGGTAATTTTCGTCTCTCACTGAAAGAGACAAAAATTTTCTTACAAACCTCCACTCCATCTTGTGTTCCTCCTGCTATGACAGAATAAGTCCTCTGCCACCTTAAGGTGGCACTTACTTCATCCTTTACCTTTGCCAGAATGAATACTGATTAAAATAGAAAAGTCTGTTGTTTGCCCCTTCCAGGGTCAGCAAATCCTCTCCCCTTCACCCCTTCCTGAAGCCTTTTGCACCCCCCTCTGGCCCTCTTACACTACCTTCCTTTGGCTGAAGCTGGGAATAGTGAGTTCCCCCAGCACTTCAAGCCCTGTGGCGATATTGGCGCAGTGAGCTCAGATGTCTGTTCCCCGCACTGCAGCTCAATGGGGAAAGAAATCTTAATTATCACCCCTCTCCCCCCAGATACATGCTGCACTTGCTCAAAATTTACTTTATAAGGTGAGGGATAAGGTTTACTCATCTTACAGTCTTGCATTCCTTTCCCCCACAACCTCCACTCCCAATGGGAAAAGGGAAACAGAATACTAAACAGCTGATTGAAGACCCAAGAGGAGAAAATATCCACTGGATTCATCCTGAACTTTAATTTCCTCACCAGAGTAGGCAGCGCCTAAACGCGGGACTCAGATGGGCCTGGACTCGAGGCCCATGACCTCAGACAAGTCACCTGCCTTCTGGGTGCCACCTGCAGAGTGTGCCGGGCGCTAGCTGACAGTGGCGAGAGCGGAGCCTCACAGTAACTGCTCAAAAGGCTTAGGTCATTACTTTTTGTATAAAGTCAAAGGCTTGACTTTTTGGTTTTACTGAAAAGAAAACATGATTTTAAATATTCATGTCTTACTTCTGTATGTAGAGTTTTCGGTCAGACCCGAAAACACTTTAAATCAAGTCCTTGGCAACTTCCAAATTAATCTTGGTGACTGTGTGACTCGTTTCAGGAGAAAGGTATAACCCAAATAGGGGGTTTAATCTTGTCACATGAGTTCATAAGATTGCAAAACTGCCTGGGGGTGGTGAGTGTGAACACCACTTGCTGACTGCTACTGCAGGGAGCATCTCGGGAGAGGCCCAAGTAGCTACAGGGCCTCTGCTTTCTTGGGGGGTCGGGGAGGGGGGCGGTGTAGGTGTGAAAGGGAGGGAAGGAAACATCCTAGAATAAACAGCAATTTCTTAACCTTTTTTGGATAAGGGATTTTGAAAACCAGATGAAAGCCAGACCACACAGAAACACCAATGGCCCCACCTTCAGAAGCCTACCCATGGAACTGAGTTTAAGAATTCCTGCTCAGGCCCTCCCTGGTGGTGCAGTGGGTTAAAGCACAGCACTAAGAAACTAAAGCCACTTCAACATGAGTTCAATCCCTGCCCCAGAAGTGACCCACATGGCGCGGCAGACTTCTCCTGACCTGCCTGCTGCTCCCCTCAGCAGTGTACTTCATTGATCTGCCTGTTCTGATCCCCACGCTTTCTCTGGTGAATCCTCTCACTGCCCCTGCACCTCTGGCCTGTACCCCAGTTCTATATGCATAAATAAGTAAATCTTATAAAAAAATTAAAGTGAAAACTGTCTTTAAAAAAAATTAAAGTGAAAACAGTATTTCCACATGATGTATATTTCAATAATGGAGAGCGCCGACAATTTTAAAAATCAATGTATGCGCCTAAGGCTGGTAGCAATGTATTAAAAATATCTTTCTCAATCTCATTCTTTGCACTGTATGACAGTGGGTAAGGGGCTTGGACAAGGAAAAATTAAGCAACGGAATATAGTAAATCTCATAAAATAAACTATCAAAAAAAGGGGAGAAGTATGCAAAGCAAACTTACCCAAAAAAGATGAAGGCATTCTGGAAAAACACAGCAATTCCAGGGTATACTATGGCTTTTTCTGTAAAAATAATTGTAACAGTTAGAGATCTAGGATCTCAAAACAGTCAGGCTTTGAAAACAACTTAGTTTCTGAGACACACATGAATATTGGATTTCCTGCCTAACATCACTGATTTTCCTAGTGACTGGCCTGTTTGAGTATGGAATGACAATGCAGATGACAGTCTAGCACTGGCTTAGTAACTGATTGCTCCTTTTATTCACTTATCATGTGCTTGCTGAGTGCATACTATGCGTTAGCAGTTTAATGAGCAAAGGTTATAGCAGTGCACCTCTTCAGGCTAACTTTTAAAGAGCTAATTTTTTGGGCCATCTTGCAGCTCCTACAATATAGAGAATAAATAAGGAAAATATAGCTGGAGAGGTAGAGGGTGTGCAGCGAATTATGGTATTTCACACAGCTGGTCGAAAAGCCTCAAAAGAAGTGAAAGCAGACACCAGGCGAGGTGAGAGTGCAGGGCAATGGAAGGATGGTTGTGTGGGCAAAAGAAAGAAAAACGGGAAACAGACTAAAGGGACAGGAGGGGCAAGCTGACGGGTAAGGCCCTGCAGAGTTGTACTGGCTGCTGATAAGTCTCTAGAAGGGCTGAATGGGGAGACAGGAGTTGCCATATTTCAGTCAGGTACCTCTGGCAGCTGTGTTGGGACGTAAGGGGCCAATGGGAGAAACAGAACCCAGCGAGGTGGCTATTTCAGGAAATCAACACGAGACTGTTGTCCTGAGCCAGGGCAGCAGCAATGGAGAGGGTAAAAAGTAAAAAATGGTTGGATTCAGGATATATTTTAACAGCAGAGTCAGGCTGGATGTGGGCTGTGAGGGAAAAACAGGTGTAATTTGAAGACTTTTGTTTTTAAAAGATAATGGTAGCAAAAATTTTGTAGCAGCAAGAGAACAAGCTAATGCAATACTCTGGGTTTAAAACTGTCCTTCTAATATAATTATCTAAGAAACACAGGAAAGAGACTTAAAGAAATATATGAAAATACTCCAGAGTGGCAAGAATGTCAGTTTCTTTCTTTTCCTTTTTTAAAAAGATTTATTTATGCTTACAGAAATGGGGTACAGGCCAGAGGTGTGGGGGAGAGGAGTGAGAGGATTCACCAGAGACAAGGTGGGGAGCAGAACAGGCAGATCAGCTGAAATGTACTGCTGAAATACACAGCAGGCGGGTCAGAAAAGGTCTGCTGGGCCCTGTGGGTCACCCCCTAGCCAGGGATCAAACTCGTGCTAAAGAGACTTTGGAGAGCTTCATAGTGCTGAGCTTTAAAAACCCACTGTACCACCAGGGAGAGCACCAAGAATGTCAGTTTCTTTTTCTTTTCTACATTTTAATAAGGTGTTTCTAATAATAAATTATAAAAACAAAGGACAAATATAAATATTTTAAATGCCTGTTATTCCTGTCTAAGATTTCAGTAAAATCAAGAAAACTATTATTTTAACCCCAGTCTTACACAGAAGGGTTAAAATAAGATCTTGATTAGATCGCTGCTGGTTGTTTTTGCAAATCATTAGTACTACATTTTTACTATGAGAAGCACAGTCAGCTTTATCTGGAACTTTATGAGTAGTTTTCTTATTTTTCTGGGGTTCCTCAAGGCAAAATTAAGAATAGACCTTTCTCTGAGCTTGCCTTATACTGGCTTTAATAGTAGATGCATATTAAGTGCTAAGTTTCACTTTCTATCTAAAAGGAGATGTGAAGTGGTCAGGAGGCTGGGTTCAATAAGCTGCAATTCTAGGATGTTAGACCTTTGCATGGAAATTATTTAGCCTATTCTACTTAGAAATTCATAAGTATTCTACTTAGAACTTGCTAAGTAGACAGAAAACATAAAATGTGTTTGTGTGCATTTTTTCCCCCGGCTTCTGTGGTTTTTGGAAGCCAAGAGAAGGGAGCTGTGCTCCATTACTCCCAGGCTCTAGATTAGAAGGAAAAACAGAGAAGAAAGGAATATTAAAAAGAGAGAAAATAAAAATACAGCCAGGGAGGGAAGTCCCAGGCACAAATGTATGGCAAGTAATTGGTCTATTTACCTGGAAAGCTTTATTCTAAAATAACAAAATTTCAGTATTCCGCGGAAGTTAACGGTGAGCTGTGCCTTCTCCTACCTTTGGCGACGTAACCTCCAAAGAGAATCCACATAGATGCAATCAGGGAGCCAAAGGCCAACATGAAGCCAATGAAAAGCCAAATGCGAGCACCTTAGAGGGAACACGGATGAGATTGTTTCTCACATGGCAGCAGCCAGTTCCATTCAATTTTCAGAAAGAGACCAAAACTCAAACAGAAAAAAATGTGCAGTTGCCTAAAAGCCTACAATGAAAGCGGCCGCAAATGAGGCACCTCCACCGCCCGCGTGGGCCGGACGCGGTGCCGCTCCGGGGCCTGCGCCACCCCCCCCCCCCCCCCAGCCACAGCACTGCAGAGCACTTTGCTCAGCCTTCCTAGAAAAGTCTCGGAGATGTTTCGCCACGTTCACAGGTTCACTTTGGTCTGTTTTTAGAAAGTGTGTTCCAAAATTCAAAGTCCTTCAAGAGGATTCTCAAACAGTAACATAGGCAGACTTGATAAAAAATTCATGTTTAGTGGTGTGTGAATCAACACCACCGTATTTCACTTTCAGGAAGTCGGGCAGCAAAGTAAATTCCAATTGATTGTGGTGGGCACCTAAATATGTCACATTAAAATTATGTTAACAGCAAAAAGGCAATTAACTTTTAACTCACATTTATATAATACTTAGAAAGATTTTCTCTAATAAAAATGGAGTCACTAGGTAGCCGAAAATGAGTTCTGAGATGTGTTTCTTTAATTAGTACAAATACATTTTAATAAAAATACTGCCTTATTCAAGAGAGGACAGCAAAGAATGCCGCGTATGATTTTTTTAATTTCATACCCCAAGCATTGAACAGTAGTTTGGGAACAATAAACTGTTATTTACAGATGTGACATTAAACCAAAAACAACACACTCCAATGCCTGGCTGGCAAATTTTATTTAGAGGTGGGATGGCCACGTGCTCGTCCTGGCTCTCACCAGCAAGGGCTCACTTTTATCCACACTAGCTGCTAACACCTAGAAGTTCATTTGCATTTTTCAAGGTTATGGTATGATCAGTGTTTCTATAGCTTTCTCCTTAAATTCATCAACAAAGAGAATGAGCCAGAGGACGGTCTGAGGGAACATAACAGAGCTGATGGTTGCAGTTCTTTCTATTTCATTAAAAAAAAAAAAAAGAAAAGAAAAGACAACCAAAGCGATAGAAATTTGTCTATAGCTAGGTTTATTTTTGTATGGATATATTATTTTTATTTTATTATATTATTTATTTTATCACTTATCATTTGCTTAGTAACTATCTGTCCCCTCATGTCTCTAGTAAGTCGGACTCTGGGAAGCCACATGTCCATCTCATGCTCAGGCACATGGCCATGCTCTGGGGGACATGAACACCTAGTCAAGAAGGAAAGGCCTGGGTGAACCTAAGAGCTAAATTATTCTATTCAGGTTTGCAACATGAAAGAGTTGGAAGGCTGACGGAACAGTAAGGTAAACAGATTTCACACTGCTTTGCTACACATTTACAAGTGGGTAGATGGTAAATTTTACATTATGTATGTATGTAAAACATAAAGAAACTATTATTCTAAAGTCTTTAAAAATGCTAATCCAATTAGAAGGGAGAAGAATGTATATGGTATAGCTATTAACTCTATTTTACACATGTACTTCTTATACACTGTCCTTTACTGTACCCTGCATACATTTGCATCTGTTTATTGCACAGGGTTCTATACCCAAATCAGTGTGTTCTGTACAATACAGCCTACTTTGAGCAAATGCCACTTCTACCTGATGCCGCAGATTTTAGAACCTCTCCTCTAAATACACCTTCATCTTATGTCTGATTAGAAAAACAAGACTTAGATCATACTTGCAAGAATGTATGTTAAGATGTTGCTGGCATGTATTTACCTGTTTGACCCAGGCAACCTTCGCTGTAACTATCACCTCGGACTTGACCATTCGATACTGCATTAATCCTGTATAAACAAAAGAAAACCAAGAAATCAGGGTCTCTCCCTCCTGAAGAAAATTCTCCGTGACATCAAATGACTGAATGTAATAAGGCAGCATTCCTTAGATTTAAGTTTAGGCCGCATGAGTATGGTTTGGTAGGAGAATGGGTTTAGACTGTCTTATGCAAGTTCCTTCAGACAGCCTCTAATACAGTGGTTAGAGTACTCAACTTAGAAGAATCAGCATTACCTGTAAGTCGCTAGAAAAATTCTCGTCCCAATTCAAACTTAATAAAGAAATGGAATAAAGGGCCCAGCAATCAGTCTTAAAAGTACTTCTGATTCTGATGCTTATTAACATTTGAGAGTGACAGTCTCTTGATATTATGTTTGGTGAAGATGGAATAATCTTTAGCCTAGTCCTATCCAGATTCACACGTATTTATCAGACACACAGAACACAGGATTACATATAGAAATGGCAAGAAAATGGGCCCTAGATAATCAAAACATGACTTAAAATTGGCTTGGGATGAAATTGGCTTGGTGATAATTTTGTACTAAGGTCCAATTTTGTTCATGTGAAGAAATAACTATATTTCAAACAAAACAGTTTTCTCTGAAGAAATTATCAAAGAGATTGAAACAAAATCTTGTTTTTTAAAATTCTGATACATATTCCAAACATAAATCTGCCTCTGACTTTGATAGAATACTGCTCTGTATTGAGAATGTCTTGCTTTCTTTAGAAATATACCCTTTGAAAATTGAATGTCAAGGAAAAATGTTTGCCATCTATCAAGTAAAGAAGTCATAAAAGATTATATACATCACATAGCTACAAGCTGATACATGGTCACTTAACAGTGTGAGCTGTGTCTAGCACTAGAGCGCTAGCTAGCTTCATGAGGGCAGGGCTGGGCGCACCTTCATCCCCATTTTTATTCTCAGTGCTAGGCACAGGGCTTGGCCCATAGTAGGTGCTCAGTAAATGTCCTGACTACACGAACCCTATTTTTTTTTCTTAATAATATGAAGTCATTCAAATTTAAGTTTTAGACTGATCAAAACACTCATTATTATTATTATTTTTTTAAAGATTTATTTATTTATGCATACAGAACTGGGGTACAGGCCAGAGGCTCAGGGGTGGCGAGAGGCTTCACCAGAGACAGAGTGGGGAACAGAACAGGCAGATCGACGAAGTACAATGCTGAGGGGAGCAGCGGGCGGGTCAGGAGAGGTCTGCCTCGCCATGTGGTCACCTCCTTGGCAGGCGGGAATCGAACTCATGCGGAAGCGGCTTTAGATTCTCAGTGCTGTGCTTTAACCCACTGCGCCACCAGGGAGGGCCAACACTCATAATTATTTTTGACAATCTATGTTAACTCAACTATTTGGTACATAAATACTTAGGTTTGCAAGACATCTTTTAGAATATTCAGGATGTTCTTAGGTTAGGCTCGTCATGAGCCATTTGCTGAGCCATCTGCACAAATTTCACAGCCCTGCCAGAAGGTCCTAAATCTGCCTTGTCAGTCTCCACTTTCCGGCACATTCTGAAATGAACAGTCTCTGTTCTCTAACATTACAAGTTTTACGCATAACCTCAAAGTCCCAAAAAAGCTACAAACACAGTTCAAACACTTTTTTCCCCTGAAACACTGAAAGTTGCTAATATGCTACCCTATAATCATGCATTTACTATAAACAAGACAGTTCTACAGAAACATAATCATGATCAAAGTCAGGAAACCAACACTATCTAATCTTCAGACCTCATTTGATTTCCTGAGTTGACCCAAAAATGCTCTCAACAGCAAAAGCAATCACAAGGTACATTGTGTTCTGGTGTCTCTTTAGCGCCCTCAGTCGGGAACAGTTCCTCGGGCATCTGTGTTCTTTGGCGTTTATGATCTTGACCCTTCCCTCCAGCCACACTGGCCTCACTGCCACAGAGCATCTGTGCTTGCTATTTCGGTTGTCTGAAAAGACTCTCTTCTTTAGCCCAGAGCTTATTTCTTTAAGATTTTACTCAACAGTCACCTTCTTAGCAAGACTTCCTTGTTCCTATTTAATAATTCTGCTCCCTTCTATTGACAGTGTACCTTCTCCCTTTGCATCAGTATTTCCTTTTGTTTCCTACTGTATTTCTTGTACATAGAATAGAGTATAAGAATACAAAAGTTTAACACTTATTTTTTGAAAGATTTATTTTTATTTTATTTATGCATACAGGAACTGGGGTGTAAGCCAGAGGTGTTGGGGGTGGTGGTGAGAGGATTCACAGAGTGGGAAGCAGAACAGGTGGATTGAAATACACTGCTGAGGGGAGCAGTGAAGAGACAGGAGAGGTCTCCTACCCCATGTCAGCTCCCTGGCTGGGGATTGAATTCGTGCTGCAGTGGATACTGATGCTTGCTAGTGCTGAGATTTAACTCCTTGCACCACCAGGGAGGCCTTACTATTTGTTGAATGAATAACTAAACAAACTTTTACACAAAATACATGGCTTCTGACTTAAAAGTTATAAGCATTTAATGCAGTATAGGAATACAAGCATAGCTGAGAGAAGCTGGGAGACAGAAGGAAAGGCAAAAACAGTAAAAGGAGACTGTTGCTTTTCCTTCTACACTGGTCTCTACTATTTGACTTTTAAACCATGTTCTAATGTATTATTTAATAACATTTAAAAAATTTTACTTAACGATATAGGTAAACCATTTTTATGTTGTGACAATCCTTGTAGGTAATATTGCTGACAAGGACACTCACATGAGGAAGGCGATGGTTGCTATGACGCCGCAGGCATGGTATGAGTGGTTGAACTCGTCCATCGTGGGGTAAATGACAGCCGCATCTATGATAATCCACCAGCCTGTAAAAAACTGAAACCAACCACACAAAAGTGATACCAGTATGTACAGTGATTTCATATTTTACTGTTGAAGCCTTCTGATAAATTTCATAAAAGGTTCTTTTATGTTCCAATATTTTTTTGCATAAAATTTGCATGTGGTTTAATTCAATATTAATAGCTTTAAGTCAGACAGCAACTACTATTAATCGAGATGAACCTGTTTGCTAAGTCTGCCTTCACCTTTATTTTATATTGTCATGATAGTCTTTAATCTAATTGTGTGAGCTAGAAATAAATTATAACATCTCATGGGAGCAGAAAGGAGAAAAAGTGGTTCAGATTCCAACTAACAGAAGGAATGGCCTGATGCTCCAAGAAGATGTAATTATTGAAAATGAAGAAAAACATAAATCTCAGAATAAAGGGTGACTAATTCTTGTGAGAGAATTTTATCAACTTTGGGTATTGTAAGATAAGTGGTGGTTCTGAAGTTCACTTTTCCTTTTGATACATTAATTAAAAGGCAATTTACAGATGGTTTCAGGTGTGCTAACTTCAATTTAAAGACCAAATTATAGTATTTGCTAATATTTATAGTAACTATAAGCTTACTATATAAGCATATATATATTTACTATAGACTGCTCCTAAGCAATATATTTCAATGATTTTTCTGAGTTTTTTTTTAATGAGAAGAAAGTTAATGCTGCATTATGGAGAGATGCAGAATGCTGCAGAATTTTGATTTGACTGCTTTGACTGCTGTTTCTGAAGTAGTTCCTGATAATTTAATGTGCTCAGTAAGAGAGGGCATAACCCAGATAACAAATCTATAAGCTATACCGTTTTATTACACCCTGCAAATGTTTACAGATCAAATTTCAACTCTCAACATGGAATAACTCAACTCCTTCATAAACTAAGTATCAAGATTCAGTAAAATAAATTCAGGAAAAAATGGCACCTATTTAAAAGCAGCACATGGAATTATAAACACAGAAAACAAACACACCTAAGACATGTTTATCTAAATTAAAGCTGAAACTTACTAGGACACCAGCAGCAATGGAAGCAATAGTGTTCCGCTTTTCCCCCCAGTCAATGCACTCGGAGCATCTCAGGCCTTCTAGAAATCCAGACATTTTTCCAGGTCACTTAAAAACAAACAAAAACCAAGTAAATAAAGGACTTCCAATTAGCTTTTTTACATGCCTAGTGAACAACTTACAGTTAAAAATAATTTAAGTGTAATTACAAGTGCTTTATTTTGTGGCTACTTACACTTCTTCAGAGTATTTGATTTAGTTTTTGATGAATTTTCGCATTATAACTTTGGAAAACAAAGTGTGGATTCATGTAGTCATTTTTATTTTGAAAGATGGCTTTGGTACAGTGAAGTAATACGAACAACAGGAAAACCAAGTTCTTGAAAAGTTTAACTGCTGTTGACCTCCTCCTGTCACATACTCATTTCCAAAGTAGATTTACCACTTAAGTGATTCTTTCAATCACGACTATGATTATTCACTTTCAGTTTAAACTATTTCTATGGTTTTGTTATTTACAGTCAGAAATACTGCCATAACGGAGACACATGCTATAAACTTCTGATTTAAAGCGTGAGTCAGATGAAAACTACGTCTTGCAGGAATCTGCACATTTGAAGAAGCTTTGTTTCTTCACACTTGGATTAAGAAATGAAACACTGCACTGATGATCTTTTACCTATATCACTTCCTTTCATATTTTTCCCTCCAAGACTGTCTTTTGTTTCATGTCTCGATCTCCAAATTTTATCTTAGTACCTCCTAGATTCTTACTGCTGTTTCCAAGCCAAAGAGAGAGAGAGAGAGAGAAAATTATAATTCCATTGCTAAATTATCTTAGCCGACCCAAACTGTCTTAAATTACATAAAACAATTTTCCGAGATGAGATGCAACCACATTTTCTTTCGTGCAAGCAAGAAAAATCCTGAATTACGGCTAAATTGCTAATAATCAAGAAACACCCAGAGCGAACCTGAAATCAACCATTAAGTTTCTCTGTAGCCAGCAATCACTGTTGTCCAAAACCTATCCTTACAATGAGCCATGAAGGCAACTGTAATTTCACTTTTTATATTGAGACATACAAAACTATGTAGCCAATGCTGATGTGCCTTTGGGACCATTCGCTCTGAACACGCACTTGTATTATTCTTTCCGGGGAGGAAAAGCAATCAATTAGGTGTTATTTTCGGTTCATCCCAATGATCCCGCCCGAATCCATTTTTCTTTGGTGTATTACGGAGCTCAACCTCCGTCGTCCAGACCCGCGGAATCTTGGGTGTGGAGAGAGACAGGGACTTGCAAAAGCTGGGAACCAGCAACACTTCAAGCTCGGCCACCTCCCCCGCCCTGAGAACCAGAGGGTTATACGCCCCGTCTCAGTTTTTCCAGCTCTAAATAGGGGATTAGGTGATTTCACGAATCCAGCGCCGTCCGGGGAGGGGCGCGGCCCGGCAGCCGGACGGAGTCCCGACAAGGTCCCTCTCCCGCCGCCCGCCGGACACGGGACAGGAGGAAGGGGCCGGGAAGGGTCCAGCGAGGCACGGCCCTGATGGGCAGCTTCCCAGAAATGGACGCAACGACCCTGCCAGCATCACCCGGGCAGACAGTCCCGGGTCCGAGCCCACCCGGCCCGAGGCCGTTCCTCCCTTTCGCGCCGGGCACTTACGTCCAGCCCCGCCCGAGCAGTAGGTCCGGAGCCCGGTATCGCGCTGCTGTGCGCGGCCTCACTGTAGCCTAGATTCCACCCAGAAAACACAACCGTCACGGGCCGCGGGGTACCCGGATGGAGCAGCGCCGACGGTGCCCGACCGCGCATGCGGGGGGCGGGGCCCAGAGGCGGGGACGCGGCAAGGGCGGAGGGTGGGCACGGGGAGCCACGCCTCCCTTGCCCACAGCTCGGTGGCCGCCCTAGGTGCGGGTTGCTGGGGCTTGGGCCCCGCGCAGTTCGCTTCCGGACTTCGAAGGGTCTTGCGAGTATACTTTGCGAGGCTAGGTGTGAGAAGTCGTTGTCTGTCTTAAGCTTTTCAAGGGAAGGCATCTATTGGGCCTTTGTATCCGTCTTGAGTGAGGTGGTGAGCTTTTTTAGCGCTGGGGTGGGCTCCCTAGATGACTTAGGCACGGGCATCAGGAAGATTGCCAGGTCCCGCATAGTGCAAAAGGTGGGTGCGGTTTTGTACCTCACTGCACAAATATGGGTTCCTAAATCTTGTTTATTTTCTCAGAATCTGGCCCCGCCCCCAGGGGCGGGATCACTGGGGCTCTGGACTGGATGTCCTGCAGGCCTCAGATTAGATGGTGTCCACTTTTGCAGTTGTTCTCCCCCACTCCCCGGCCATTTGCTTTTGGGCATGGTTTCTCAGCCCAGGCACTGCTGACATTTGGGGCTAATCCTGCTATGAGGGTTTGTCCTGTGCGTCCTAGGATGTTTATCTGCATACCTAGCCTCCATCCACTCCCTGCCAGTGCCGTCTTGCCATGACTACCAATAATGGTTAATCATTTTTATTTGATTTACCTTATGCTGCACTTCTCAGAAAGACTAAATGCAATTGGCTAAAGTCAAAATACTAGAGAGGCTTTACTAATACAAATGGGAATGTAATGAACTTTTTTTCCTATAGTCAATCATATTGGATTCAGACTCTTCCAGATTCCATGAAAGTTCTCCTGAAAATTTTTTCCAGTATTCAGTAATGAGTGCTGGAAATCTGTAGGTACAGTATACAAGACCCATATTATGTCTCTATGGTAAAGTCTAGGTGTCAGCAGGACTTCATTCCTTTTTGGAGACTCAAGGGGTTAATTCCCAACACCTTGCACATTCAAATGTTGACAGAATTGCATTCTGAGGTTAAGGTTGTGGTCTGTTTCTTTGGTGACCAGCAGCCCACAGTCACCCTTAGCTCCAGAGGCCTCCCTCTAGTCCTTGCAAATAGCTCCTAATGTTTCAGAAGCATCAACTTGGGGTATACAGTGCTTCTTGGTTTTGAATCACTCCTACAATTTGGGCTATTGGTATAATCTAAGATAATCTCATCTGAAGATTCTTAATTTTAATCACATTTGCAAAATTCCTTGTGTCTTAAAATATAACATTCACAGGGTCTGCTGAATTAAGGTGTGAATATATTTGACAATTAGGGTGTGGATGTCTTTTGGGTGGCTATTAATCTGTCTACCACATTAAAAGTCTTAAACAAAAAACAAGCAGGGCCTCTCTGGTGGAGCAAGGGTTTAAGTCTCAGCACTAGGACACAGTCCACAGCTGCTGCAGTAGGAGTTGGAATCCCTGGCTGATCTACATAGCGTAGCAGACAACTCCTGCCATTCTGTTCCCCACTTATCTCTGGTGAATCCTTTCCCCCCACCCCCACAAACATCCCTCTTTATACCTCTGGCCTACACCCAGCTCATCTATGCATAAAGAAATCTTTTTTTAAAAAAGAAAAAGTGTCACAGTCTTCAATGGGAACACGTGCTATCATAAAGCTGTCATTTCTCTCTAAATTAGCCTATAAATTCTATGTGAGATGCTTTAAATGATAACTGACATTGAATTTTGAATCATGAGTGGAAAGATGCTTAGAGATTACATTGGAAGGGGCACTGATGTCCCCTGCAGACTAACTCAGCTCAACTGTATGTATTCTAGAAGCAAATACAGCAACTCTGCACAAGGACAAAGTAATGTCTTCCATTGTGCTTCCAGTTTTTTTTTTTTTTAAACATTTATTTATTTATTCATACAGAACTGGGGTACAGGCCAGAGATGCGGAGGGTGAGAGGATTCACCAGGGACAGAGTGGGGAGCAGAACAGGCAGATCGACGAAGTACACTGCTGAGGGGAGCAGCGGGCGGGTCAGGAGAGGTCTGCCACGCCATGTGGTCTCCTCCGGGGCAGGCGGGAATCGAACTCATGCGGAAGCGGCTTTAGATTCTCCGTGCAGTGCTTTAACCCGCTGCGCCACCAGGGAGGGCCCAACTTCCAGTTTTTTTTAACTGTGAACATCAGGACGTTCTGATGACCTTAAAAAAGTGGCCCACATTTGACTGATATAATGTATCTAGACTTTTACATTGTTTCCTCAGCAATTGTCAAATCTGAAACTCAGTTTATTTTCCACTACTCCCACAGCTTCATGGATACTGTATCTTCTCAGGTCACTTGTTAATGCACTTAGATTATTCTTTCTAAAGAAACATTTCTTCTCCCCAATCACTTGGGTGGGGGCAGATTTTGAGGTAAGGTTATTATTAGCTCCATTGTTGTGTATGTTATGGGGAAATGGGGTGAAGAACAACAAAAAAAGCTGAATTTGTATCTCCCTCCAAAGAAAGTGACTTTTGCAAAAAGGTAGTGGTAGCTCTAGGCTAAATAGTTAAATTGCTTTCAGGCCCTAAGGGGTGAGGGGACAACTTATCTCGATTTTTCACTTTGAAGCCTGTTCTGCAGATATAGCAAAGGCTGGGGGCTTATCAACACCTAAAGCTGTGCTGCAGTATGGCTTGGGAGCTGAGAAAACAGAAAAAATGGGGTTCCCAGAGGAGGAGGGGCACATCAACAGAAATTCCAAATTCCAGTTATCCAAAGAAAACTCTCTTTACTCCTTCCTCTGCCATCTCGCAGTGCATGTTCTTCTTCCTTGCCATGTCTGCTCACAAGACAAGACTTTCAGGATCTAGTGCTCCCTGGCCAAGAAACAAAACCAGAATTGTCCCGCGTCCCAGTGGATTGAGATGCAAACTGGTAGTAAAATCAGGAAATTCCAAGTGGAGACATTGGAGAAGAACCAAGCTGGGTCTGTGAAGAATCACATAGGAGATGGTGTGCACTGTGTTGAGATCAGTGGTGTCTACTATTTTACTCAAAATGTCACTGCATTGTGTACATTTTTTCTCATGGTACACTTCTGGCTCAGTAACAAATCTGTTAGCTCTCTGAAAAAGAAAACCCTCTTCATACTTCATGTAGGAAATGCTCTTCGAATAGCCAATAAATTTCAAATTCATCTTTTTCTGCCCCAATCAGCTTTTCAGCTTCTTTTGATCTCTAGCCCTTGTCTCCAGAACAACTTAGTCCCCATCTCCAAACGGCTGGAGACCTTAAAACTTCCAAATTATTCTAACTCAGGGGTATAAACAGTTGGGATTACAGCTGTATGACAACTAGTTATATCTCAGGTTAGGTGGGGAACTATTACTCTATGCACCCCCAAAACTCTGCAGGGAAAACTATTCAGCAGGGAATAGTTTCAGGAGATGATCTCCACCTACTCCCCTCAAAAATGAGGAACAGGATATAGACAGAGGAAGGAGTTGTCACCAGCTTGGGGAACCTCAAGTTCTTGCCCAGTTCCTGAAAACAGCAGTACAGAAAACAGGCAAAATTGGCTGAGGGCAAAAAGGAGAACTTCTGTGTTTATATAAGCAAAAACAAACTAGGATTTGAAATTGTGAACACCATAATCCTAATCTTGATGAATGATGCCAGTTGGATCACCGGATGGTCACGAGTCAGGATCACATCAAAATAAGAACATGTTGGCTGGCTCACAGGTCCCACATAGCCCCTGCCCATTTTACCCTCTGGTCAACTTGAGAGCTCGAGATGGAATTTTGGAACAATAATCTAGTCATCTCCTCAAATGCTAGCTCTTGAAAACATTTGCTTTGCTTTCCTAACACCAGTCCTCGTCTCTCCAGACTGCTTTACAAGTGGCCAGTAGCTGAACTTGTCTGGCAACAAAAACAATACTTAATCTGGCTACTGACGACTCCTTAGATGATTAGTTCATGCAGTAAAAACGTTATTTCAAGGTATGTTCTTTATTCAGAATAGTGAGCATGCTTAACTGTAATCTATTTACAATTCCCGGAAAGTTCTGTTTAATTGAAGTGCTATTCAATCTCCAGGACCAAGCGCATTGTCCTCTTCATAGACACTTCAGATTTCATCTTTACTCTCGACTAAAAGTCATCGAGGGGCATCTTTGCATCCTCGACTCCACTTTGTCGTTACTAGCCAAAACATGGCAGTAAAACCTTTCCTAAGCTCTGTTGCATTTACAGAGATCCTGCGCCGTCCTGTGGAGGGGCGCGGTTCCGGAGCTGGGCGGAGTCCAGACATGGTTCCTTTCCCGCCATTGGCCGGACACAGGACTGGAGGAAGTAGCCTAGAAGCTTGGAAGCGACCACGCCAACATCAGTCTGTCGCGGCGCCGCACAGGGCCGCGTAACAGCTTCGGTCTTGAAAACAAGCCACAGGTCAGCGGACCCCGGAATGCAGCAGCACCATTTGTATCACCAGCTGCGCAGAGCAGACCGCGCATGCGCCTCCTGGAGCCGGAGGTGGGGCGCCGGGAAAGCACGGAAGGCGGCGGTTGGACAAGAGGAAGGCCACGCCCATCGCGCCAACGTCTCTGCGCATGCTCAGAGCTGTGGTTTCTGGTACTTTAGTCGCGCCTGCGGACTTCCAGCTCAGTTCGCTTCCGGACGTCGGGTTTGGAGGTCGTGGGTCGTCGTGTCGCCCTTTCCCACGGACTGACGCTTTTCCTCAGCTTCGAGGGCAAGGCGTCCATCGGCCGTTTCTCACCGTCTTGAGTGAGGCATCGGCGACTGGTGGTAAGCTTCCCGTTGAGTGGCAGGTCCCACAGGTCGCTGTGGGTGGCGGCGAGGCCCGGGCCCCGCGGGCGGAGCTCCGGCCTTTGGCGTCGCCCTGCCTGGCGTTCTAGAGGCGCGACGGGTTTCTCCTGGGCCCGCCCGCGCCGCGAGACTTAACTTCCGGAACTTCTCTGACCTCCGTCCCTGTTTGTCTTAGAACCAAGGTTTGGGGAAGCTGACGGCGCAGGCCGAGATGCCCAACTACGTGAACGACATGTGGCCCGGCTCGCCGCAGAAGGACTCCCCGTCGACGGCCCGCTCGGGCAGATCCAGCCGCCTGTCCTCGGCGTCCAGGACCTCTCGCTCGGGCTCCAGCGGCTGCGGGTGCCGGTCGCCGTCCGGGAGCCGGAACGCGCCTCGCAGAAGAAGCGGGTCTCATTCCAGAGGCCGTCCCCGGAGACCGCACCGGCACAGCTCGCGCTCCGCCTCGCGCAGCGGGTCGCGGTCGCGCAGCCGCCGCAGCCGGCGGAGAGCCCGCGGCGCCTCCCGGAGACCTTACCTGTCCCCTCCTCGGCGCTGCTCCCGCAGCAGGTCCCGCTCCCGGGGACGGTCGCCTTCCCGAAGGGCCGGCAGCATCCCGCGGGGGCGGCGTTACTACGGCTTCGGGCGCACGGTGTACCCTGAGGAACAGAGAAGTTGGAGGGCGAGATCCAGGACGAGGTCACGGAGCCGAACCCCCTTTCGTTTGAGTGAGAAAGGTGAGTGGTTGGTGCTTAAACGCGAGTCCCTTTTGCACCTTTTTGTTTGTGGTGGTCGTGTGAGCAGGTTAGGAAGGTGCTATGTAGTGTATTTCCTTTGCTGCCTGCAATCTTAATAGTTTTTTTGGGGGTGGGGGGAGAGGAAGAAGGTGGATATTAGCTGCTTAACAGTTATAAACTGGACTGCAGTTGGCACCCAGGTTTTAGGACATCCTTCTTGGGATAAAGGTGGCTTGGGGTGGAGACTCCCATTCCTTCTCCATCTCTCCCACGCCCCCACTGGCAGTTAGTGGAACCTTTTAAATGTTGGTGACTTAGTTATCTACCCTAAGATTTTTTATCCACCCTAAACTTCTGCTGACTAACAGTTGAATGGTAAATAATTATCAGTATATGTCTGCATTACTGAACAGGTCGCATTTTCTACAATCCTGGATGGGATCATGGAATAGATAAAAGTGTGTTAGGTTAGAATGTGTATTATAAAAAAGCCTTGATTGTAATATGTATTTGAAGAGAAGGCAAAAAAAAAAAAAAGTAATTCAGAATTCTCTGCCTGACTAAGGGAAACTGAGATGAGAACTAATCATCATTATTTAGGGGTGCTTATTTTTCTCAGCAAGAAAATGAGGTATAGCATTTTGTTTATGAGTAAAGTATTCTACTTGTGAAAATACATGGTGCAAAAATATATACATATGGTGCAATTCCAAATGAAACAACCTTTGATTTGAGTTCTTGGGGAAGTACTGTAAGATTAATGGATGTCTTATGTTTCTTTTATAGATCGTTTGGAGCTGTTAGAAATAGCAAAAGCCAACGTAACAAAAGTCTTAGGAACATCCAACTTTGAATTACCACCTAGTCTAAGAACTGTATCTGGAACATCTGTATCAAATGATGCAAAGTTTGAGGTAAGTATCTTAGGTTTATCCAAAATCTTAAGAAAGCTGCTGCCAGAAAGAGCTAATTAGCTTTTTTTGTTTGTTAGTTGAATCTTGGAAAGGGTACCTAAATTTGTTAAAACACCAGATAGGATTGTAATAGATAGTCTTCTAGAAATGGGCGATAGTGAACTTCTATTTTCAATTGACAAGGTATTAATCACTTTCATAATTTTAGCTGATACTTTGATCGTTTTTATGTAGTTAATCAATTTTCTGTAGTCTTTACAGAGTATCTGTTGCTTTCACTTGCAGCAATTATCTTCCCACAAATTCTGTAGCTAGCATACAGTATAGTTTATCTGCTTTATTTCTATCTTATAGAAATCATGAATGGGGCCTCCAAACATTGATGAAGAAATTCTGTTGGTAATTGATCCATGGCAAAAGCATTAGAGGTTTAACTAATTAGAAGTTTATGTTCACACACTGAAAGTAGTTTCTTGTTTGGTAGATCCCATGTGCATGCTAGAATTTGGGGTAGGGACTATTTGGATAAAATGCCAAAGACAATTTCTAAATTAAACAAAAGTACACTTAAGTAATGGTGGGGCATCAACGATGAAGATGTCCCTTTTATAATACATGCAATATATTCCAGATGTTTTGAGAGATTACAGAAGAAGAGGCCTGCTTCACTTGGCAGATAAGTTTATTACGATTCTCCAGAAATGTGCAGGATGTACATTGCCAAATTGCATTTTTTGCAAATTTGCTCTATTTAAGTTAATAAGTGCACTTCAAAGCTTAAAATCCATCCCTTTACACAAGGGACTATGGTAATGGATTCCTGGGTGTTATGGTGGTGGGAGACCTACTACAGACTACACCTGAGGGGAGAGAGAAGTATTGTGCAAAAATGAACAACAGTGTAAGAAAATAAATTTAGCAGAATTCCTAAAAATAAAGATTGACTTATTTAGGAATTGATAGAATCAGTTGGCAGGAAAGATAATGCCACTTAGATGAACCTATCTTTCAGACCTAGATGTAGGCTTACCTTGAGTATTAGGAAACAAATGGAATTTGTCACTTGGATAATTGGGTCCCCTGTAAGTAAATGTCTTACTTTGAAAGTAGGTTAATTTTTTTACGACTTTGAAAAGTTACTTTAATTTGCAGCAAGGGGATAAAATACTCTGTTTTAGGGGGAAAGTGTCTTAAGCTTATTAAATCAATTTTGTTACTAAGAAAATTCAACTCGTTTAGGTTGTATGTTAAGTCCAACTTGTTTTGTCTCTGCAAGGGGCTGCTTTTTATACAGTATTACAAGCCAAGGGTGTGTATTATTAAAAATACTTTCATCTGTTTAGATGTCAGAAAAGCTAACAGAAGATGGAACTGAAAATTCAGATGAAAAGTCTAACCAGCAAAAAAGCGTTGCTTCAAATGTAAGTATACCTAATCTTTTTTAAAGTCAATACTGTAATGGTTCTCTTTACATATCCAATATCTTCATTCTCTGTTTCATTATTTGCTTATGAAAAATTAAAAGCCATCTTACAATCTCTTAATCAGAGTATTTTAAAGTCTTTTAGGAGCTTAAAAACAATCACTCTAGACTTACTAGACACCCCATTATATAAGCCACGCATTTGATTTTTTTCAAGTTTCTTGATTTTCTAGTTTACTTGACTCTTGCTATAAATGGGATCTATAGTTTATTTGGTTGATGTGTCTGAAGTTTTGATCATAAATAACAATGTAGTTTTGTGGAAAGCAAATATTTAAAATTATGTACTATGTGTTTTGGAAGCTGACTTGAATTTGTTATTTTACAGAATTCTTCAGCAAAGCCAGTGCTTCAGAAAGCAGCTAAAACTTCTGCTGTAGAGACCTCTTCAGGATTCCCAAAAATTGATTTAAAAAAGAGTCCATATGAACTGTGGATACCTATTTAAAGGAAAATATGGCCATGGTTGCCTAAAATGCACTTTACTACAAGTTTGTTTCTAGCATTATTGTATCCTTTGGGCCATTTATTGGTAATTGTTGCAGTTAAAAAACCAACACAAAAAGATGTCGATGCTTAATATTTTAAGATTAACATTTTAGATCTCTTGCAGATAAAAGATAGCACAAATGGACCAGAAGTTACATTACAGGTGGGAATCTTATATATGTATTTGTAAATGTTTTGTATAATAAGATTGGTCATTTAGAAATGAATTTGTAGGACACAGTAATTAAACTGTTTTGTATATATTTGTTAATAAAGTTATTTTATTTTAGTCCATTTTTATATTTATATTATATAATGGGTATTTTAGTGAATAACGGTATCTGTCTTCACTAAAGCTTTGGAAAGCTTTACACCACTTTTAGATTCTTTCTGCAAGTGTTACTTGACTTAAAAGATGAAATGTCTCAATTGAATGTTAGATATTGATTAATGAAATTTTGTGCCTATGCTAGGTCATAGCGAGGCACATACCTTGCCTAGAATATAGGCAAGAAAAAGTAATACAAATTTTAGACTAAAAACATTTCATTTTAGTGATTTTTGTACAGTTCATTTTAAGTGGTCTATTTCTACTTTCTCTTGCCATCATTTTGCTTTCTTACTGTTAGAAAGCAGGAAGGAATAACAAGTTAGTATCCAGCCGGATATTATACGCAAAATGGAAAAAAATCTATAGATACAGAATAGATAAGCAGGCTGAAAACCTAGGTAGTAATTGACCGTAAGGCCCTCCCTGGTGGTGCAACAGGTTAAAGTACCACATTATGAAGCTCTATGAAGCCACTGCAGCATGAGTTCAACCTCCAGCCAGGGAGCTGACCCTCATGGCACGGCAGACCTCTTCTGACCTGCCTGCTGCCCTCAGCATTGTCAATCTGCCTGTTCTGCTCCCCACTCTGTCTCTGGTGAATTGTCTCACCTACACCTCTGTCCTGTACCCCAGTTCTGTAAGCATAAATAAATAAATCTTAAAAAAAAATTGACTTTAAAAAGGGATAAAGATCCTCAAGTAGATCCTAATTGCTATTAACTAAAACTGCTGTTCACTATTTTAGCTGTATTTTGTAGTAAGACAGCTGCAAGCAAGCTGGTTACTAAGATTTCAGTTCTCACTAATGCTAATAGCCATGTGTGTACTGTATCCCTGTGTGGCTAGTTCCTATCTTGTTGGGAAGTATAAGTAATACTTTCCTGCTGTAGAGTACCGTATTGAATGAACTGCTTTAAGCAATTTTAAAAGATTTATTTATGCATACAAGAGCTGGGGTACAGGGCAGAGTGCCATGGCTGTGAAAGGATTCACCAGAGACAGATTGGGGAGCAGAACAGGCAGATTGAAGTACATTGCTGAGGGGAGCAGCGGGTGACACAAGCAGTCTGCTGCAACATGTGGGTCAACTCCCTGGCTGGGGATCAAACTGGTGCTTCAGAGAGTGGTACTGAGAGTTTCATAATGCCACTTAACCCCTTGTGCCACCAAGGAGGCCCTGCTTTAAACAATTTTTGAGCCTACCAAAAACTTAATATGCAGTGACTTTGTTATGGATATTCTTGCCCTTCAAGCCAGCAGCATGTGGTTTGAACAAGGGTTTCTGGAAGAAAGGATCACTGCTCTGGGTAAATATGCCCATTTCATATCTCGATTAAGAATGAAGTAGTCAGAGGGTAATAAAAGCTTTTAAAAGAGTAAAAATATTTATATACAAGGTTCATTTTTATTCTAAGAAGACAATGCTTTTTAGACTTTCTGGTTACAGTGAAATTCGGGAATTCATCAGGATTGGTCTTGTAAGATTTGGAAATAATAGCCTGTACACACCCTCTTGATATTGTAAATTGGTATTCTTTTAAGCAAAGTTTCAGACTAAAAGAAATGAAGATAACTAGAATCGTATCAGAGGTCTAAGATTTCATTCAAATACTTGCATTTAACAGCTTATTGGATAGGTCATGTGACCTTCAATCAAACCCCTTTCCTGTGTGATTCGATTAATTCTGTGGCACTTCTGAGATTGGCTTTCTACAGTGATCTTTTTAGACATCATGCTTAGCTTAAGCATATTCATGTGTTTGAGACTTAATTTCCTCTTTCATTCCTTAGTCTGCTCATTTTCTTTTTAATCACCCTATCAGTCTCTAACTTTTGGTTGGTTCCTGCCAAGACTGCCATGTTTAGTCTCTCTTAGCTTTGTAACAGAATGGCTGATTATGTGTACTCACCCCTAGATTGAATGTTAAAAGTCAGTGAGATGGAGTTGCTTCAAGCATAACCTCCTTGGTGGCACAAGGGGTTAAGTATCAGCACTATAAAGCTATTGGCACCCTCTGCAGCACCACTTTGATTCCAGCCAGGGAGCTGACCCACATGGTACAGATCTCTCCTTTCTTACCCACTGTTCCCCTCAGCAAGATGTAGTGAGAAATTCCTCCATTTTAAAAAATGGTGACTACAAGATGCCATAGAGGATAAGTCTACCTTGTGTGCTTGCTCCATGGGTGTGGGACAGGCAGGCACCTATAATTGTGACCACTTATAGGGAGAAGGTGTTAGGGTGAATTTCCACTGTCACCTACCTACCACATTTTGCAGGAACAGGACTTACGAAGCTCCTACCTTCAACTGTTTCAAATAGAATGTTGGACAAATTTCTGGGTAACGATTTACTTTAAACACAGATACACGACAGATTTTTTTTTTTTTAAAGTGAATAATATTTGCATGAAGACAGAGCACTTGAGAAATTATAAAAGGAAAGTCCTGGTTTACAGTTCTGAAGATTAGCTGTTTCCAAGTTCTGTTTTAATTTCAACTATATTTTTCCAGAGAACTTTTTTCTGCCTTGTTGAATTTGGTATTCCTTCATTGGGCAATATCTGCATCATCATGAGCTTTTCTGGCTATGTTTGTCTTGACCTTAAATTCTATAGTGACAAATAGAATTCTCTTTTGGTCATAGGCATTAGGACTGGAAGCAGTATCTTTAGAAAAGCATTCTACAAAGAAACATGTTCAATAAGCTTTTTTGAATTTAATAAATCAGCACTACCATCAGATGATACACTCTGAAGTTTGGGAGATAGCCCAGGTTTATGTTGAAATAAAAGGGCAGTGATTCATCATAGTACTTTGCAATAGAATATATATATACACTTATATATATTTCTATTGCTTCTATCAAATAATCACTGTCCAAAAGTGGTGAATGGAATCCTTATTAGTTGAGGTTTTCCTTAATTTCTCTAGTTGCTTCACTTAAAGATCAATAATTTTTTTCATTAGTTGCAAATTAAATCAGTACTGAAACTTTGGGCTGCATTGTATTTCTGCTTTGCAAGACGGAGCACCCTATCCGTTTCCTCTCTAAAGCATGTGTATTCAATGGAGAAGACTTAGATGTTGGGTAGAACTCTCCACTAAAAAAGATCAAGGTGTTAACACTATAAAGATCTCACACCTTCAGACTGGGAAATGGTTTTAGTGGTCACAAAAAGATAACATTTGGGGTCATACTTAGATTTCAAAGACATAGAATTCAGACTTAAAAAATGAACTTCAGAAATCATTTACTAGAATGTCCTGATTAACATGAGTTATTTGACAAATGAGTCAAATACAAATCACAATGCATTTAATCCAATCACATTCATGTAGTGAGATCTTGAAAGAAAACTTGCTCTGTTCACAATACACAGCTCTTCACTTGGCTACAATGTGGCTATCCACAACTTCAATCTTAAACACATCATCAGTCTTACATAATAGGGAAGGGGGTTGCAGTTCAGAGATGCTCTATTTAAAGGCACAGGAATAATCATGATAATAGCTAACATACACAGTGCTTATTATGTGTCAAATGTTAAGGGCACTATAGGAATTCATTTATTCCTTACAAAAGCCCTGAGAGGTAAGTAATATTACCTGCCCAATGACATCTGTGGTGAAGAGGGTCTGAGATGGGACTAGCTTGGCTCTTTCCTCAGGTCTGAGATGGCACTAGCTTGGCTCTTTCCTCAGACTGCCTGATTCCCTGCTGGTCCTCACAGTCTGGGTCGGGTTCTCACTTCGCATCACACCAGTTTCAGCGACTGCGCCTCCTTTTCTCCCTGCATCGCCTCCAAGTTTAGGCTGAATAACCTTTATCAACAAACGTCCTACTGTCTGCCCAACTTCTGGACAGAACCTGCCACCCACCACCTGCCAGTGCTCATCTAGCACTTCTGGCCACAACCAACAACTCCCATTCTGGCTTCCCAGACCAGCAGCTGCAGGATCCGTTCCAAAATCTGCCCCTCAACCCTAGGCAGTATCTGGGCCAGACAAGTACTCCTTGAGTGATGCCTCCTAGGCTGTAGGAATACTCAACAGAATTAAGTTTTGAAGAATATCCTGGACTGAAATAGTGCTGTGAAGCAACTCAGAGTTATTCAGAGCAAATCAAGGATTTAAACCCAAGGAGACCGCATCAGATTTGAGTGCTGCATCTGCTCTGTAGATGTCTCATTTGCAGGTGAGCCACGCGAACAGGAATTCTCCTAGAGCAGAGATGAAGACGTGGTTATAGTCTGGTCCATGAAAAAGGAGGAATGTTATTTATGATATCAAGGGTGACCTCTCATTCTGCAGTCAGATGTTACCGGTTTGTGGGAATAGCACAAGAACAGGGATCTATCGAGATACTTGATATCCTAGTCAGGGTGTGTTTTCACAGGCGTAAAGGCATATCCTTCCTTCAGCAACTCGACATGACGGGAGAAGGTGGCTTTGGTGTGTGACTTGGCTACATGGAACTTTCACAGTAAAATTGGTTATTTTTTCTTTCTGTTGGCTGACTCCAAGCTCCTGCAGTTGTTGCAATCTTTTCCTCAGAATGGACACATCAGATTCTGTATTTCTCTTCGTTACCGCTTTAATTTTATCTCTACATTATATACATGTACATATATATGTAGATTACTTTTAATTTCTACTCCTAACAAGTGGTAGGTAGTACAGAAAGGATCATTTGATCCGTAGGGCACAGAAGGAGGGGCCTGTTCCCTGCAGGTCACAACGTGGAAAGGGCGGGGGTGGGGGAGATGCAAAATGGACAGACAAGAAAATCGTCTACTATTGAAGTGAATGCAGATGGTGACAGCAGCAAAGGCCAACGCGAGACTAGAGAATCAGGGGAGACCTGCCTCGGAGGAGGTGACACGGAAGCCCTTGCCGCTCATATAGGGATCTCCCCAGCTGAGGTCACTTTTCTACCAGGCTTTGGCTCAGACACCCCTTCCCGACGCCCACCCCAGACCCCCCCTCCCTGCCAGGCCCTTCCGCCCTTCCGCGGAAGCCCTACCCAATCGAAAACATCTGTCCGCCTAAACGGATAGCGATTGGTCCCAAGCGCCAGGGCCGTCCGGAAGGGGCGGGGCTTACAGTTATTACTGCATCAGCAGGACCGTCCAAAGACCGGCGGAAGTGCTCGGGGTTGTTGCCGGAAGTGGGAAGAGAAAGGTTGCGATGGCGGCTGAAGCTCTGGTTGAGAAGGTAAGTGCCACCGGCTCTACGTTGGGGTCTCGTATGGGAGGGGCCCGGCGAGGTGTAGGAGCGAGAGGTGGAGGCGAGTGCTGGGCCGCATAGGCGCAGACATTGGAGTCGGCCTGCCGGCATCAGCAGGGGATCGGCCTGGGCTGCCCCAGGACAAGCCGAGCCGGCCCCGCCTAAAGCTTGCTCTGCCCGCTGTAGGTGTCTTTGGACGGCGCGGAGGAGCAGCAGCCGTTCGCCACGACCGAGGAGCTGGCGGCGCAGAAGCGCGAGCAGAGACTGCGCAAATTCCGGGAGCTGCACCTGAAGCGGGTGAGCAGCCCTGAAGGCCCGCCGGGTCGGGCCCCTTGGCGAACCCCGAGAGTGTTTATGGAGGGGCCAGGAAGCCGCCCAGCGCACCCGACAGACCTGCAGGGCTGGATGAAAGAGCTTTCCCCATGGTTCTCAACCTGGAGCACATTGAAAGTATTTCGAGAACTTTTAGGAGTTACACATGCTCCATCCAGTTCAGTCACTTCTGCTTTAACGTATTTGGGCTTCTGTTACTAACAGTTGCTTCTCTGCTATATTGTTCTAACAATTTCCTCGTTTTACTTAGGGGAGTACGTGGAACGAGAGATGGAAAGAAACTTGTCCAGTGTTAGAGAACTGGTTAGAGAACTTTTTTTGTTAGAAAATCTCTGAAACTTTAAAAGTCTATGATGTCAGCGGTTCGACCAGTTTATGGGGTACCAGATAATGGAGCTAAGATTTACGTCTTTTTATTCATTTATTTTAAAATAGCACTTTTAAAATTTATTTTTATTGATGTATACAAGAACTGGGGCACAGGCCAGGGGTGTGGATGGTGATAGGATTCACTGGAGACAGTGGGGATCAGAACAGGTGGATCTACTGAAATACACTGCTGAGGGGAGCAGCAGGCGAGACAGGAGAGTTCTGCTGTGCCATGTGGGTCAGCTCCCTGGCTGGGGATCAAACTGGTGCTGCAGTGGCTGGTGATATCTGGTTAGTGTTGAGACTTAATCCCTTGCACCACCAATACACTATAGTAAATATTAATGTGTTTGTGGGGGGTGTGTGGGGGTTCTAGTAAGTGTCACATAAGGAAATTGACACCAAACTACTGTTTGAAAGTTAAGCAAGATAGAGTCTTAGACATGTTTATTATTAAATAAACAATTTGATTATGGTGGTGGCACACGGGTGATTTGGTGATGGGAAACCTGCGGGGATTACAATCGAGATGGAAAAAAAAATGTGCAAAATGATGTAAAAATAAACTTTTGTAATAATTAAAAACAAAACAAAAAACCAAATAAACAATTTGGAGGAAGCTACCCAAACAAAGGGAGCAAATGTAAAGGAAGAGAATTCATATTAGAGGTAAGGATCAAGCAAACAACTGCTGAGAAAGGAAAAGCAACTCTTGGCTATTTCAAGGTTTGGACTGGCCTGATTGGCAGCTCCAGGGCGGTTTTACAAAACTCCCACATCACTCTGACTATTGGAATGAGACAGAAACAAAACTGTTTATCTCTTAGAAGTAACCAGTCCTGCTGACACCAGTGACTGTTTCTACCTAATACAGTATTGGCTTCACTCCTTGATGCCTTATTCCTATATAAAATTTTAAGATACTCAGTCATCCAGTGCTCTTGTTTTCTGACAGTGCCCAGTCAGGAGCACAGTCATGTTTCCTTGAGCCCTTTCCCAGTCCCGTGATGCAAACCCAAATCTGTGATTAAGCTCTCCTGACACCCTCTCATCACAGTGCTTACAGTTCTCCATGGTTTTGTCTGCTTCAGTGCAACAAACAGCCTTGTTTCACTACAGGTGTGTTCAACTGGAGGACATTGCCAGAGCCAAGAACACTTGAAGGGTGGTGGAGGAGAGGGTTCCTCTCTATGGCCTGATAAACAGACCAGATACAAACATACATATTTACTTGTTCATTACCACAGAGCTAAACAGAGGCAGAGTTGACATTCATCTCCAGGCTCTTTGGAGTAGCAAACCAGGGCAGCTCAGCTTATTTTTCTTAACTACAAACAAATGCACACCTATTGATTAGTTCCTTGCTTATACTCCTTTTAATAAAATGGGATCCCTGTTAATGTATCGTATCTGAGGCTCCTCAAAGGAGGCAAGAGCTTTGGATTTATTTTCAGCTGACATACTTTTCGTGCTGTGGTTGTAGAATGAAGCTCGTAAATTAAATCACCAGGAAGTTGTGGAAGAAGACAAAAGACTTAAGCTACCTGCAAATTGGGAAGCCAAAAAAGCTCGTTTGGAATGGGAACTACAGGAAGAAGAAAAGAAAAAGGTTAGGCACTCTGCTGTCTTCTTAAGTGGTCTGTTCAGTCATTGTGTTGTATTTTGGCAGTAGAACATGGGGGTTTTGTTCACTGGCTCTGAAGCTAGACAGCCGGGTGTTCAAATCTTGGGTCTGCTTTTTGTTAGCTGCAACATTTTGGGTGAGGTTTTTTTTTTTTTTTTAAGATTTATTTATTTGTGCATACAGAACTGGGGTACAGGCCAGAGGCTCAGGGGCGGCGAGAGGCTTCACCAGAGACAGAGTGGGGAGCAGAACAGGCAGATCTACAGAAATATGCTGCTGAGGGGAGCAGCGGGCGGGTCAGGAGAGGTCTGCCACGCCATGTGGTCACCTCCGGGGCCGGTAATCGAACTCACACTTAAAGGGGTGTGACTTGCTTGCATTGCTGCAGTTTAACCTGTTGCGCCACCAGGAAGGGCCTTAGGTGAGTTATTTAACCTCTCTGGCCCTTCATTTTTTAACTGCAAAATGATTGCTACCATAGTTATTTGAGTTAATTATGAATTAAATGAATCAATGCATGTAAAACATTTAAAGCAGGATCTGATATCATCAGCATTGATTCAGTGTTGTTTCTGAAGGTAATACGTTCACTTCTTATATGCCATGGTAAATAATTTTTAGGGCATTGCTGAATTGTTGAATCTGGATTTAAAATAGGTAAAAAGAATTGCTTAGAAAATAATTGGTATCAGATATTTTTCTTTCTTTTTAGGAATGTGCAGCAAGAGGGGAAGACTATGAGAAAGTGAAGTTGCTAGAAATCAGTGCTGAAGATGCAGAAAGATGGGAGAGGAAAAAGAAGAGAAAAAACCCTGATCTGGGATTTTCAGGTAAAACTGACTTTTCCTGTTTAGTGTATTTGGTTTTAAGAAAATATATTTCCATTCATGGAATATTTTCTAAATGGTTAAGCTATGAACAATATGTATACATATCATAAGTCAGAAGGATATTGGATTTGCAAGCTGGATTCTTTTTTTTTGGGGGGGGGTAAAATTACTCGAAACCTGTATTATAACAGTTTATTTTTACATCATTTTGTACTTTTTTTTTTCTATCTCAATTGTAATCCCTGTGGGTTTCCCATCACCAAGTCACCCGTGTGCCATCACTGATTAGTACTAATTTTTTTAGTACTATTTTTTTTTGATTACTCATTTCTGCCCAAACAAGGAAATAAATTATCTCTGATTCTCACTTGATTTTTAGATTATGCTGCTGCCCAATTACGCCAGTATCATCGGTTGACCAAGCAGATCAAACCTGACATGGAAACATATGAGAGGTTGAGAGAAAAGCAGTAAGTTGACAGGATTAATGCAAGTCTTTTTTCATCTTCAGTGCTATAAATGTGCTTGTGTGTGTTTATATAAATGTACACAGGCATCAATACAAATGCACTTTAGAGCTCAGTGTGGCTTACCGACAGCTCTGTCTGGTCTTGACAACACAGTTTATTGCTTACTTCACAGCAGTCAAGCTAACAACTTGGCAGGCTTTCTACCTGGCAGTAGAAGACTGGTGTTGACTGCTTACCATTCAGATTGTCATGGTTACTCATGCATCATCTTAGGAGATCTTAGGGGGCAGAATGTTTTTTTTTTTTTAAGATTTATTTATTCATACAGAACTGGGGTAAAGGCCAGAGATGCAGAGGGTGAGAGGATTCACCAGAGACAGAGTGGGGAGCAGAACAGGCCGACTGATGAAGTACACTGCTGAGGGGAGCAGCGGGTGGGTCAGGAGAGGTCTGCCGTGCCATGTGGATCTCCTCCCGGGCAGGCAGGGATTGAACACATGGGGAAGTGACTTAAGCTTCTTGGTGCTGTGCTTTAACCCGCTGTGCCACCAGGGAGGGCCCAGGAGGCAGAATGTTTTAATGCTGGGGCAGGTGAACTTTGCCGTAAAGGCTGGATAGTAACTATCTGGTCTCACAGTGTGTCACTGCTCAGCTTCCCCATGAGGTGTGAAAGCAGCAGCGAGGAGCAGACGTAAATGGCTTTCACTACATCCCAGGGCAGCTGTGCACAGAAACAGATGGGGCACTTTGCTGCCCCCTGAGATTTTGGCCACTGAACCTAGAAGCAAGCAAGTCCTTTAGGCTCTGGTCTTTGGCTTTTCCTTTGTAGAAGAAAGTCATGGGATCGCTTAGGTCTCTTTTAGTTCTTTGTTTTCTCTCTCTCTCTTTTAAAGATTTATTTATTTGTACAGAACTGGGGTACAGGCCAGAGATGCAGAGGGTGAGAGGATTCACCAGAGACAGGGTGGGGAACAGAACAGGCAGATCGATAAGGTACACTGCTGAGGGGAGCAGCGGGCGGGTCAGGAGAGGTCTGCCGTGCCTTGTGGATCTCCTCTGGGGCAGGCGAGGATTGAACTCATGCAGAAGTGGCTTTAGCTTCTTAGTGCTGTGCTTTAACCCGCTGCGCCACCAGGGAGGGCCTGTTTTCTCTTTTAAAAAAGTTAAAATCACAAGTAAATATGTATGTATTTTTAATCCAAATGGTATTTTAGCTCAAAACTTGAAAAGGTGGTGTACTTATCCATTTTGCTATCTTTTCAGTGGAGAAGAGTTTTTCCCAACATCCAACAGTCTTCTTCATGGAACACATGTTCCTTCCACGGAGGAAATTGATAGGATGGTCATAGATCTGGAAAAACAGTAAGTGCTCAGTACAGGAACCTGAAATTGTAAATGCTCAATGGTAGAATGGATGTAACATGCTTTGAATGAATTGAATAGACAAGGAATTACACATGCTAATTTATGGCCTAGATTTGCAGTGGTTGTGGTGACAAACAGCAAGAGTGGACTGGGTTTGTACGACCTGGAATGGAGACGCAGGCTACCAGCATGGGATGGCTGTGGTTGGGGTGTGGGGAGAAGTCTAAAGGGGATTATTGTTGCAGTGCTTGCTCGCTAGCTACCAGTCCACTCTGACTTGAAGAAGTAAGAATGTGCTAGCAAATGCCCCCTCGATTTTATTTGTTTCTTAACAGCGACAGGCAGAGAGTCAAGTGTGCTTTACGGTTAGTGTTAGTGACAGTGTCTGGCACACACGATGCACTTCCTTCATATTACCTGTGGCTGTTATTAGTAAAGTTGTTATTTAACATTCCTTGAAGTAGTACTTCATGGGTTGAGTCCCTAATAACATACCTTTGGACCTTTACAAGCGTTCTGAAGATGTGTTTTTATTTTCTGAATTTCACATTTCTTACCTTTGCTATTAACTAGCATTTTCAACCTGATTGTGATAAAAACTGAATTCCTTTTACCCCCCCCAAACTAGACCTTTGACAAGGTCTAGAGTTGGGCTCAGGAACCGCTTGGGGTTGTAGATGCTGCAGCTGAGGATGTTTATTTGCTTCTTAACTATTTGTCCATGTTTTATTAAGTTCAAAAACAAAGGCCATTTTGAATTTTTAAAATAATTTTATTCTTCCCCCAGAATTGAAAAACGAGACAAATATAGCCGGAGACGTCCTTACAATGATGACGCGGATGTCGACTACATTAATGAGAGGAATGCCAAGTTCAACAAGAAGGCAGAAAGATTCTATGGGAAATATACAGCTGAAATTAAACAGAATTTGGAAAGAGGGACAGCTGTGTAATCCCTCAGGAACTGTTTTTAGAAGTTTGAGAATAAAGTGAAATTTTCTGCTAGCAAATTCTACTTCTGGTAAACCTATGCCTTCACACTTAGTGTTTAGAAATAAATGTTTTTACTTAAGCATATACTTTCATGGATATTTCCACATTTTTTGTGCTTGGATATAAGATGTATTTCTTGTAGTGCACTTGTTTTGTAAAAACCTACTTTGTATAAATTCTAATTATATTATTTTTCTATGTATTTTTAATGTATATCATTTACATTTTCGAAGCCTTTTGGGCTGAAGATGATGTAGTCATTGTGGCTTTGGATATTGGTATGAATTTGACAGGGTCTGGAGCTGGGCTCAGGAACCACCTGGTTGTCAGTGCTGCAGCTGAGGGAGTGGTGGTGGCTTCTGGTACTGCTGCCTGCTGCGACCAGCTTGAGGAAGTAACAGAACTATCCCCCGTGAACACTGACCACTTACAGTTCCCTTTTATAAGTAGCAAATACCCCATGGAGTAGAATCCATACTAAACACTCTATGTATAAAAGTTTTTATCATGGGACATTTCAAATATTCAAAAGAAGACATACAATGAATCCCATGTACCCATACCCCCATCTTCAATCAGCAACTCACGGCCGGTCTTGTTTCATCTTTATTTCTGCCCCTTTTTCCCTTTATGTTATTTTGAAGTGAATACTGGATTGTATACTTTTATCTATAGGCATTTCAGTATGTATTTGAAAGAGACTAAAAAAATAAGGACCACAATACTATGATGACAATTTTATTTTAATAAAAGTCCAGAGAGAAAAATTGTTGTAATTTTTGCCACACATGGATTCACATTCAAATATCTAAGTAGGACATTCCAAATTAAAAGAAATCTGAAACAGAAAATTTTACAAATACAGATACTTCAGCTTTAGTGTTTGATGCCACTACTGGTTATTCCTTTAAAAAAAAATCTTTGTTACATTTTCCATTTGTTTTCATGCTGATTTTTAGCATTTCTGTGTGCACTGAATCAGGCCTGGTCACAGGACCTTGATGTTATCTCTGAAAATATCTTTAATGTGCTTCTGTTCTCATCTCTACTACTTTAACTTCTTTGATCCTGAATATTGTAGTAGCCTTAGAAAATAAGTTTAAAACGTTGTCAAGTAAAATCCAGCAATGAGGACTAACCTAGGCGGGTTAATTTTTTTTTAAGATTTTTTTTATGCATACAAGAACTGGGGTACAGGCCAGAAGTGTGGTGGGTGAGAGGATTCACCAGAGAGACAGAGTGGGGAGCAGAACAGGTGGATGGACTGAAATGTACTGCTGAGGGGAGCAGTGGGCAGGTCAAAAGAGGTCTGCCATGTCATGTGGGTCAGCTCTGACCTGGGATCAAACTCCTGCCACAGTGTTACGTCACCAGGAAGGACCCTAGGCAGGTTAGTTCTAAGGGTGCAAAACTACTTTGTTGTAGAGCCTGTCAGTTGCCTGTTGAATATCAGTTCTTCATTACCAGCCAGAACCCTTACTTTTTTGAATTTGTGGTATTAGTTTCAGCTAAACTCCCTTCCCAAGACTTGCTGTTAGAGGCAGACAGTTCTGACTAAGGTACCATGTGATTTATTTGAGACGTCTTGCTTTCTGAAGTTGGAGTTGGCTCCTTACTTCCCCTTCTTTTTACTTGGAACACACATGCAAGGTTTGGAGTTCCAGCAGCCACTTTGTGCCATGAAGTCACATGCATCAGAACAAAAGTGGACATGCTCAGGACACTGAAGCAGAGCCTGGGTGCCTGCTGGCATCTCTCAGCAGCTTCACCACCACTTGCTGCCTCTTGTTTTCCCATTTCCACTGCTGAATAAATATATGACTAACATAAGGATCAATTTCAGGATCTCTGTTAGCATATGTTAAATATATAAAAATTAAGGTATGTAAAAATGGAGATGGGAAGAAATGGTTGCTACAATATCAATAACAATAAAAATTAGAAGATATTTATAGAGACGGCAGAGGGCCTTCGTGAAGAGAGAAAATGGAAAGAATCAGCAGAATTCTAGTTTCAAGCCAAATGCAGTGATGGAATGTTTTAATGTTTTACCTTCCAGCTTAACCCCTAACCTCCCCCCCCCCACCCCGTGATAGCATATATAAAACAACAGTTTCAGATACTATGGATCAGGAGGTGAGGGAGGCCTGAGAGAAAAAAAGGGGAGCCCTATGATACCACTGCTTATTGCCTTTGGAGAACTTACAGGCTGTGGTGTGTGGAGGGAGAACCCAGGCGAAGCCCAGCAGACTCCCTTACTGAGAGAGCTAGAGCTGGAAGTCTCAGCACAGCAGTGAGAGCTCAGAGCTGGACACGAGGGAACTACTCACAGAGAAGTCTAGAAGTCTACAGAGCGTCTCAGGTATGAGGCAGGGCCCCAGCATGTACACAAGGACATGAGGCTGAAGAAGGAACCACCGAAAGGAAGAGAGAATATACTGGAGCTCATACGGGGCTGGAAATAGTGTTTTTTCCACTTCCAAAGTGGAAAACGTCATAACTTATGGGAAGGATACTGGGAAGGCGTTTCCTGGTAGTGGGGAGTAATTAGTCCTTGACCAAACACAACTTGCGTCTTGCCTAACAAGCTTGAAAGGAAGACCTGGCGTTTTGCTACAATACAGAGTGTGGTCGAATTAATAAAAAACACAAAAAATTGTGTGTGTGTATGAGTGAGAGAGGGAGAGAGGTTGGGGGACAGGTGTGTTTTTTCAGTTGGAAACAGTCCCTTGGGGAGAGATGTAAAAAATACTCAAGTGCCTCAAACATGCACCCTGGAAGGTTATAGAACATGTTCATCACATATACGGAAAGGCTAAATGTAAACCATTAAAATAAAACACAAGTTTCCAAAATCCTGTCTTGACACTTCTTATCTTATTGCCACAATAGAAACCCTCAAAAGGACCAGCCCAGCCCAGTCCTGCTGTTCAGAGACCCTGCACCCTGCAGAAGGCAGCTGGGAACTGGAAAGCCAGACCCTAGAACAGCCCCTGCTTATCTCCCCCACAGTCTGCGCCCCCTTGTGGCGCTCGTGATCCGAAAGATTTTGGCTTTCTAGAGTTACCGGCAGTGAAGGGCACAACCAGAGCAAACATACAGGAAATTTTTCATATTTATAAGCCTGGGCAACCAGCCAGGTCAAGCCAGTAGGGTCCCTCATGACCTGTGGCCGTCCAAGGCCCCTGTTAGCATGGTTTCTGTCGCCTCAGGTGAGTGTAGTTTTTGAGCTTCCCATGTGGCTGCTATTGGGGTCTGACTTGGCTTACCCAACACCGTGTCTAGAGCGTTGCTTACACTACACGGCTTTCCAACGTCCAGGTCACTGATTCGGAGGAGGGAGGAAGTGAGGAAGCATCAGGTTGAGATCCTGGCTGGGGCCTCAGAGTGAGTGGTTCCAGGCGCCTCAGGAGAAGCAGGGTTACAGGAAGGCGGCTCTCCACACCCTCCACCACTGCCCGGGGCGTGGGGGCTGGGGGGCCTGGCTCTGTACTCCAGGAGCCATGACCTCACGGCCCAGTTTCCACGACAAGCTTCTGGCCTGGGCTGTGGTGCCGCCGGGGGCCGAGACTCTGTGGTTGCACGGGACGAGTGCCTGCTGCCACAGGAGGGGCCGGGGTGCTGGCCGGAGTGTAGCTGGCGGCCTACAGGCATCTGCAAGGCCAGGCGCTCCCAGAGCCACCGCTTCCTGGGTGTTTTTACCTGAGGTTGATGTTCTCCACTGAGGCGTGGTGGATTCTTGGGGCTGCTGTAAGGTTGACCCCCAGTGCGGTGGCTTAGACAACAGGTGTTTCTCATCTCCTGGTTCTGGAGGCCCAAAGGGGCCAAGGTGTCCGTCAGGTTCCTTCCTTTGAGGGCTGCCCGGGGGAACCTGGTCACGCCCTGCTCTCCCTCTGGGTGGTCCTCTGGAGTCTGGTGTTTCCCAGCAATGGAAGCATCACCCAGACCTCTGCCTTCATCGTCACACAGGTCTGTCCAGAGTCCCACCTTACAGGGACAGCACTGAGGGTAAATTGGCACACTCTAATGACCTCCCTTTAACTTGATTAATTCAATCTGCAAGAAACATCTCCAAAGACTGTGACAGTCCAACCATGGGGTATGAGTTCAACATGGATTTGGAACGGGTACATGTATTAGAATTTTCCAGAGAGAACTCCGACAACACCCACACTCACACCAGTCACTTATCATCTCTATAAATCCATCTACCTAGGTAGAGTTAACAGATATGCTGAGGCACAGTGACAATTTTAGAAGTTTTTAAAGCAAACATGCATTCACATCAGGCAGGCCCAATCTAGCAGACAGACAGGAGCTTCAAGGCATTGTATAGAATGACTTTTGTAGCCAGAGGGAGTGGGGCCAGGAAGCCATACTAGGTAACAACAGTTAGCTAACGTGGCCCTTAGGGGGAGGCAGATTCCCTGACTAGGCCTGACCAGGTGACTCCTGCTGGCTGCTTTGATTCCATTTCTGGAGAGCCATAACTCTGACTACGTCTTGATTTGGTGCCCTTGGTGGGTCTGACAGGGCCTTTAATGATGAAGGAGGGTACTGGGTGCAGGCAGGGAGGCTGGGGCTTGGGGAGCTGGCCGCAACTGAGCTCCTGCCTCCCTCAGCCACCACCTCAGGAATCTCCACTCTCTCCTCGGCTCATACTTACGGGTATACACCCCCAGGGTCCCCGCTTCTTCGACCAGCTGTCCACAATGACATGCCCACACTCCTCAGCTCAGGCAGCTGAGGGTGCTTGTGCCCCCAACATGAGCACCAGCATGGTGTCATGTGTGGGCAATGAAACCTGGGAGACAACAAAGCCACAGGGGGTGGCCATAGAGGCCAGTGGTCTGAGGAGACAAAGCTGAATTAGCTCCATTTCCCTACAGGCCACTAATGTCACTTTTCCAATTCCTCATCTGTTCAATGTGGCAATAACATCACTTTCCTTGTTTTGTTGTGTTGTGAATACTGTTAGCCCTCCAGAAAAGCGGAACAGGGCCCTCCCTTGTGGGGCAGTGGGCTAAAGCACAACACTGTGAAGCTAGCTAGCCACAGCAGCTTCAGCGTGAGTTTGACCCCCGCCCCGGAGGTGACCCACAGGGCACGGCAGACCTCCTCTGACCTGCCTCAGCAGTGTGCTTCGTCCATCTGCCTGTTCTACTTCCTGCTCTCTCTCTCTGGTGAATCCTCTCACCGTGCCTGTACCCCAGTTCTTTATGCATAAATAAATAAATCTTAAAAAAAAAAATCCAGAAAAGCCTGGCACACAGTGGGCCTCTTGTACGTGCTGACCGCTGGGCCTGGAGGAGAGAGCAGGATATCCCCGCTGGGCCCAGAACCTGCCACATCTGAGTCTGGCCGCCAGAGTGGGAGGAGCTGTGGGTGCCTCCCGTGTGTCACCTCCCCCCCCCCCGGCTCCCAGCAGCTCCCCAGCTAATGCACCACAATTGCTTTTTCATCAGCAGCCACACAATTCACATCCAGTAGCTCTCGACCACTGAGGTTTGTAGTTAATGATGGCCGTATCCACCGAAACATGCAGCTGAACAGTTTACTCCAGCTTGGTGAGGGTGGCATCAGCCGTTTGGATGAAGAAGCCAGGGTATTCCCTGCCCTCGGGCAGGCAGGATGGGAAAAGGGCCTCACCAGGTGTCCCGCGTGCGGGGCTCCGGGGTGCTCAGGGCGCCCAAGGGTGCTCATTCCAGAGGACTCTCAATCAAAGCGCAGCCCCAGCGGCCACATTTTCACACTAGCATGCCCACAA